TCCCCCCCCCCCCCCAATCTTCCACCCCAGGCGGCATGTGGCCGCATCAAATGGGGAGTTATTGTCGTGGAAAAACGTATTTGCCACAAGTAATTACCTGTCACTGGAAGATTTGGTAAATCAAAGATGAAATTAAGACTGGCAGCCAGTCGAACATACAAATCACAATCGAGTGGGGAAAGACAAAGTTTTCGTTTTCACAAAGAGGATCATGCGACAGCTTTTAAGGGAATGAAACAGTAGGGTCATTCGCTTTCTTAATTAAATACATGTTCGATTTTTTTAGTGTTGAACGCGTCCCTTTGTCTTTTTTAACGGAAAGAAGGCAATTAAGGCAAATGGCGCTCTCAAGCAGCACTTTTTGGAATGAGACATTGTTAAAGAAAACAGGTAGGGAAAAATTGCTAAAACGACTTGCAATTTCGCCTAATGGAGGGGAGAATCACCTTGCGTGCCTCTTTTGAGGCTTTGGAATTAAGGAATCCAAAGGAACCATAACGTAAGTATGATAGGAAATTTGTCTTACGCGAAGCAGCATGGAGATTGGTCAGGGGATGACCTTGCTCTGGTTGATTTGGTAATTGGTCGTTGTGCCAATTGATCATAATTTCGCACTTGGCAACTCCTTGCGTTGCCAAATTCGTCAAATTTGGATGCCAAACTTTAGGGTCCACGGAGATTTCGCCTTCATCCCTACCACTCGTCACATCCCAAATGGGTACCTAGCAAGAAGATAACGCTGGTCACAGCAAAATGAGTCATATGTTACCTGCGAATCAAATTCGGGAGAGCTAACAGTGAAAATCGCAACGAGGCTATGAGTAGTGCCAAACAGGCACGGCATCACACCCCTCGCAACCCTCTCTCCCCTCACACACTACCACGTGCAGGCGCACCTTAAGAAGTAGATGTTTTATTTTCTAGCAAAGATACGCATTATATGAAGTTATGCTTTGCGAAGAACTCCGTTTTACAAAAAGTACATTCAAGATGTAAAATGATTAACACGCAGATATCAAAAGACAATTCTTGCCTCACCCCCTCAAAACTGCAGGTAACAGTGGAGGCGGTTCGATTGTAGGCACCCTCGGTCCGTCGGCCGGTGCAGCGGTCAGAGCAGGAGAAGCGACTGGCGCCAGTCTGTACAGGGGAAAACGCACAAGTGCAAACGAAGGTGTCATAGCAGCAAGCGCTACCGGGAAATTAGAATGATCTCCCACGTAGCTAAAACAATGGAGCGCAAACGTGCTTCGTTTCTCGCTACTTTGCTGGTAGCTTTTGAGAAACATGGTGCCTTTGCGAATGTGAAGTTAGCAACACGTGGCGATAAGCAGTAATAAATTTGAAAAATATGTAAATCAAAGTATCTCGCAAGGACGGATGCATTTTTAGTTGTTTGCAATCGTGAAGCACAAGATCTGGTAACAACTATAACAGAACAGACATAGTTCCAACAAAGCATTGGATGAATGAAGTTGGCCTAAGCAAAATAAGGGCGAAAAACTGTAAGAGCTACCGGTAGTTTGAAAGGAGCAGGCATCAAGGCCTTGGGAGTTTGCTAACTCTTACCCACACCTGGCATTGGATTAAATAGTTAATATTACAACGCATATACCAGTTCGAATGCTACAACATGTATAAAAGTGCCAACAGACAGTAGCTATTGTGTCATTTTAACTTCGGTGTGGTATTTCCCTGAGACCTCACGTTATTTGCAACGCAACGCACCATGAAGCAAGTGAATTCGACTTCTCTGCGGCCCAACACAGGGTCATTTAGTTGACAGTCTTAGTAGACATGTTGGAAGTGCGTTTAATAAGTGAAATTTGACACAAAAAACACTCGAAGTCAACGCAGTGCTTCACATTCAACAAGATTCTAACCCTTCCCTTCGTTTCAGTGACGAGATATGCGAAGACGTTTGTGGGTTCAAGCGAAATTGAAGAATACTACCGACATACCTGCATGTTGAGGATGCGTGCTGTTACGGTCGATGACTTCATTGCCTCCACAGTGGTTGTGACGGGTTCCACAGTGAAAGCAGGACAAGTACAGTTCTTGATTTTTTTTTAAAAAAAGAAATAAAGCACCCATAAGCCAATGCGATTATTCTCGTTCTCGTGTATTTCATTTATGTTGGATCTAAGACACTGCTGGAACACCTGCAGGTAGCATGGAACCCAACAATAAGACCGAGGTAACTAAACACCGATTAAAAAGCCAAAATGCGCGTAGATGAGCCTCTGGTTTGGATACTTCCCACGTGATAAATTCATGCTTATGTCTTGCTGCTGAGGGTCGAACAGTTCAATTATTTCTCAAAATTAGCGAACTAAAAAAAGGCTGACATGACCCTCAGCTGTCCTCCACCTTGTTGGCGAGGTGCTTGGAAATGTTTCCGTGGACAAATTTACGTGAAATATTGGCTTCTATGTAAATTCAAAGTCCAGCAAAGTTTAAACTGCCTTCCTAATAATGAAATAGGTGTTGCTCCACTACAGAGGTTACTCGTAACATAGCTTGGCTGTTCTTTGGCATATTAACCCACACAAATCTGCACCTATGGGAGCCTACTTTGGTCAATCTAAAGAGATTTTGTGACGTTAATGACTCAGCATACGGAGACTTCTTTTAAAGAGTTCACCTGACTTATGTTTAACCCCTAGAAAACAGCACTGTAATCAAAAGTAATGACAAATCAATGGGGGAAAATGAGGAAGCGTGGATATATGACAGATGGGATTGAAACACTAATATACGAAAAAGGGAAATTCGCAGCTTAGTAACAATGGAAGTCAAGCAATTAGATCTTCGGCGAGGTATTCGGGATTATTTTCAGGTGCTTAGTTAATCGAGGACGATGAAGAAAGACTTGACCCACGGTTCCCTTATCAACCTGATCGACACCAAGCCTTCACCAGTGACCCTCTGACGACACCGCAGGACTTACCGACCCAGCCTGGATGAGGGCGCACCCCGTGGAGGCGCCGCAGGCGACTGCGGGCGGGGCGCGCGACCCCGCGGGCACACAGCGGCTCTCGGCCACGCACCACGCACACGCGAACCCGCTGGTGTTCGCGCAGGTCTGGCAGTCGGGAAAACGCCTGCACTCGTAGATGGCAAAGGTCCCAACCGCCAGGGGATAGGTGGTTTCCTCCGCAGCACCTGACGACGTTTCTACTAGTTCCAGCCACACTAGGGTCTGTTTCGGATCTGCGGGCAAAGTAGAGCACGGGGAGAGACTACAGTTTGTCTTTAAGGTTTGACTGCAACATCAGATATGTGTAACAATAAATACTTTAGTTTTTTGCACAAACAAACAATATATACGGTCACAGGACTCGAGAATATAAACACAACTCAACGTGATTAAGAGTTTCAGCAAATAGTACTTTGACTCTAATCTTAAAACGACAACGCCACAAGTTTTGTCCAATAAGAATTGTAAGATAAAGTCTTCAAGTACTTTCACCACGTTCTTTTTGATGGACATTCCAAAAACTGGGGGGGTTGGAGTTTGTCGTCAACTATAAGGCGAAGGAGGTAAAAGTCACCACCACAACTTTCACCCGTGCTTCGTAAAAAGAAGAGCCCATTCGGTGCACACGTTAGACCATCGAAATATCCATCGCGAAGTAACAAAAAAGAGCTAAACTGCGCATAAAAATCACTCTGGGTGGGACATTTAGAGGCCTGAGTTTTGGAAGATGCCTAACACAGCTGCGTCACGAAGACACCACATTACCTACACCATTAAAAAGCGGCAACGCTTTGCAACGCAGCAAAATTGCTTTGATGCTGCGGTGTCCGCCTGATACGACAATTGCGAGTCCAAGACGTGTTAGTGCGACCCCAACAAAGAAATTACCGTTAGACATTGTGGAAGGAAATGTGCCTGTTTTAAACATATTATTGCGTAGTTGTTACGATGGATTTCCGTCTGAAAAAGCATAGCCATTTGGAACTTGAATGAGTGGAATTTAAAACGGCTAGAAAGGTGTGGAGGTGCGTAATAATCTGAAGTTGGAACCAGCGTTTTGTTTAGCAAATCACGTCCAGAGTCGGAGTAAGGCTACAAAACTTTCACATGTGCTCTAAAACCATTATCACAAGGGAATTACTTGCCAAAGCAAAAAAAGACTCAATAAAAAGGATAATAAAGTAAACGATAGACCCTATAAGAAGGACAAGGCAAAAAACTTACGTTTACTACCATCTATCGCTGGAAGGTTAGTGGGTTCGGGGGAGTTGCAGGTGGCCTCAGCCGACCCAGGAATTTGATGAGCCCTGGTTTTCCCATATTCCGGCCCACGGACCATCCACCGGAGGTCAGTCGGTGTTTGCCTCACGGCGTCTGGGTGGAAAAGCCGGAAGGAGCAGAAAAGACGGCGCTGCGGGGCTTGCCTGTCGGTGGTGGTGGGAGGTGGCGAGACAAGCGACTTGGCGAGGAGGGGGCTCAGCTGCAAGGTGATGGCGATCGCGCGGGGTGCGAGCGACTCCACCCCGGGCGGATCCACGACGCTGATCACAGGACATCTTTACGACAAGAAAAATCCACAGCTTGGCTAGCAAACTTAAAAATGCAACTCCAGTAAGCAAACTTTACAAGGGCAAGCTTGCTAACTTACTTCGTTTAGAAATCGACCTGTATAGTTAGTGGGCTGAACTTTTACTACAAAGTTTTAAACTTAAAGAGCGAGGAAAAGCAGAATAGAGATTGGGGACCCGGATGATGTAAAAACTGGGAGTACAAGTACCCAGTCAAATGCATAAGTGACAGTAAGTTTTGGAAAAATGTCCAACTACCGTGTCAATATTTACAGGATTACAAAAATTGACAAACCTAGGGTGACAACAGACTTTGGAAAGTCTCTGATACTAATAAAAGAGTGTTTGCCAATTACCAAACCAAAAGTTCGGTCGTACTCATTGAAGAGCTTAGTAATAGTCAACGGCTCTAACGAAATAAGCACGGCAAACGGCAGTTTAGACAAATATGATCGAAAGAAAGTTACGTGGCAGCTTCCGTTTGGTAGGAGAGCCAGGGTGCTTGACCGACGGGCTCGCAGGCCTCTCTGTGGGTGCAGAGGCCCCGTGAAACGCACCAGCCGCAGTAGGGGTCGCGCTGGGCCAGGCAGGCGCCGCAACTCTGGGCTGATGAACAGTTATGAAGCGCGACGCGGTAGACCTACAGGACAACCAAGGCCGGTGAAACCTAATGCTGAGGAACCAAGGATTCCTCTCCCCCTATTACTTCCCTAACCCCCTGTGTTATGTCGCTTTTCGTTTAAAATAGCAAAAGGGATACGCATGATTGGTAGGCACAAAATGCAGCTACACAAACGATATAATGTCTGACTGACAAATTTGCGTGTTGTACGACTTCAGGGAGGAAAGGATAGCAACAATTTCGCACCAAACTAGGCGGCAAAATTTTGGGAGTGAGCGTCATTAGATGTAAAAAAGAGTCTTGGAGTTGATCGCCTAGAGGTGGTGTACTGGTGAAAATTGCAAAGCTGGTTGCATGGTAGCCTGAGACAGCATCAAGTCTTATGCCGGTAATACGTCACATGAAAAATCAATCTTAATAGGCGGCGTGCGCGGGGTGCGTAGGTGAGTGGACCCAGGGGAACAGCTGAAACCGACTCCGGAACGGGACGTAGTACGTCAACGATAACAACTTGGCTGGAGGCAGAGTCAAGCATTCAGGAGGTGTCGAACAGAAACGGCAGAATTACGTGTGCAGCAAATGAATTGGATGAAGCTGGGAACTGCAGCAGCAGCAGCAGCCCAGCTGGAACCCCCATGTTTAGGACAATTCTGGGCACGCACAACGAGCACCATTCGCAAACAAAGAAGCGCAATGAAACTGTTGTGGTCCCCAGCATGTAGTCTGGAACCACGCCGGGTCCACGGAATTAACCCTGGTGCGATTGCGTTCCCCTGATACCCGCGACGCAGAAAAAGATCGAAGAGGACGGGACACAATCGCTTACTTCAAAGCTCAACCAAAACTGGTGTCGCTGTGTCGAGTGTGGGATTTGCGTGTGTGCATTTATAGATCGGATGTGTGAGTCATACATGCGCTAACATCGAGACCTAGGCGTGAGGATAATCCAAGATACATATACGTGTGAATGAGGATTCACGACAAAACTTAACATTATTTAAAACCACCTACTCGGGTAAATGTAACACTACAGGAAAGCACAACAATTAATTAACCTAGATAACAATGCAGCGACAAAATCATAGTTCAAGGAATCTTTCCTTGATGACATTTGGTCTCCGAAGGGAGGACAGTTGAAAGTCAATCCAACTAATGATGATAATGCGTGCTTTGAACTGACAAAGTATGGGACGCATAAAGTTGGCTTTCCATTCACAAGGATTTATAATTTCGACGACGTTAAAGTAGAAAATTCCTTATAAACTGTAAAGATTAATTGTTTTTCATCGGTACACATTTAGCCGAGCTTACTTCTTCACCCCAGTTAAACTACGTGTAGAGCATCGAGGAGACGGAGTGCAAGCTGCAGTGTTGCACAACGACCTGCCAGAGCGTGAACTCACGGCAGACGCGGTCTAATGGTGTAATTTCAACAGACGTTAACCCTTGCTTTCAGTGAGTGTATTTACCGAGTGACCGGAGAAGACCCGTTGTCTAAAAACGCGTGCGAAGACTATTACAGAACAAATCAAATGAGATGTCCTTGTACCTTGCGAATATCTGAATAGATCGCCAAACAAGCTAGGTTGACCGAGTTTGCAGATATCCACGCTGTGGGCTGGTGTTGATTTAGAAGTGATGGCAGGGATTTGTTGTGTGGCTAACGTACAATGTTGACTTCCAAACAAAACAATTACCAAAAGATACGAGAATGTGATGCATAATTTGGCTGCTACAAAGATGGATAGAAGCTAGAAGTGCAAGAATACAGCTCCAGGATAACCATTTCGACAAAATGAAAAAATACACCCATATTCCTCACACAATATGAGTTTCAGGTGGGTCGGCGTCAAATCTCAGAGGAATTGGTTTTAGTCCAAGATTTTTTGGACCAAATTTACCCACGCTACAACCACGCACAGTAAATGCGCTTGCGATATCTAGAGCACGGCTATGGGCAAACGAGAGCACCAGTTCGATATTTCGAGCTACCATGCTCACTGGGGTCGGTACAACCCAGTTAGAAACTTGAAGGGAAGAGGGCAGATCATACCTTCTCATCAGATATTGCAAACGCCACAAGCCCAGTTTCGTCCAGTGTGAGACCGCGAAGAGGCCTCCGTCGAGAAGTCAGTTGTTTTGAGGAGATGAGTCGAGCCAATCCACTTTGCTCAATGACGTACTAAATTAGAGGGATTTAGAATGCGAACGAGAGATTCAAATCATTTGGCATGTCGAAGATTACATTAGAACTGTAGATTTTGGATAAAATTGATTACGAAAAGGTGGCCGGACAAACTCTTCATGCGTGGTGCAGTATCGGGGGTCTTGTGAAAGTCTGATAAAAAATGGGTGTGCAACGAAAGAGGCAAAGTACCCACCTTCGACAACTCGCCCTCATCCGTGGCGACCACAAGCACCGTGAATTCGTCGGCCACCTTGGTGATGGCGATGCCGGTGGCGTCGGCGTCCAAAATCAACGCAGGAAGCGCAGACAGGCGCTCCGACTGAAGCGATCCACTTATGGGCCAGTTTGTTGGGTTCGAGGGGCAGTAGTAATTGCGCTTGAGTTGGGCTAACTTAAAAAAGACAACATCTCAAGTGCGAGGAAATACCAGTTTTTTTGTGTCTCAGGTCTGAGGCAGACAAACATAAACTAGCGTTTTCGATGCCATAATGTCGCCTTTACTACAACAATCCGTATATATTTCGTCAATGTAATAACTGTGCCTCCTGCTACTTACTCTTACGCGGATAAAGCTTCCCTCAATTACGATTAAAGTGAATGAGTGGAACTTTGAGGTTGACAGTGCAAAAGGGTTCTGCATTTCTAAGATTGAAATGCATTCATGAGAATAAAAGAATGTTTGCGATGAAACCATCCTCTGCGGATCAAATCGATGTGGACTCAAATGCTTTGGTAACCAAATAACCTCTTTCTAGAATGTTTGAAATTGACCCCCCTTTAGTGTTTCTACGCGGTGGCTGTGTTCGCGCGCCAACGGTGAATCGTTCCTCTTGTTTACAGACAACCCTTTAGTCCTTTTTTTGCTAGCAGACACTGACCTTGATTTCAGCCCTAGATGATTCCACTTGCAACAGCACTACTTATTTTGACTAGCATCGAATATTGCTCGGCGTATTTAGTAAGCTTAGCAACACGGAATCGGAGGTATTGCGAGTTACAAGTAGAGTAAAAACCGACATGTCAACGATCTTGAAAGTAAACCGGCAAAACTTACAAGGGGATCGTCTCGCATGCATTTCTGTGGATCGCTCGAGAGGAAGTGAGCGGGACCAATGGACGTCTTGCCCGTCAGACAGTTTTGTATCACCACACCGAACCACACGTCGATCTAGTGGGAGGACAAAGCAGCACTTAGTCCGAATGAGCACACAGACTATGACCAGGTCCAGCAGCAGGCGGCCCTTATTGATGCTCTCTCCGTTTAATTGGTGTTGTGAAAAAAAGAAGTATTTAATTTGGGATAACATCAGACACCTTCGTTGTAGTTATGTAAGAAATTATGCTCTTACCTCATCAATGAAACACTACCTTTTGTATGAGCATGTGCAGTAACGAGTACTAAAATAGGCATGTGGCTACTGGGGATGTCAACACCTCCCAAGATAACTCGATTAACACTTAAATTCGTGACTTCTATCTACCCAGCTCTGTCCACACGATCGCAACTCGGCAGTCACGCTAACAATCCATCACTCAAGCAATCAGACCTCGATCGCCTATGTATAAATAAGAGAACGCATTTGAGCATCCACTCGACTTTCGCTTTGACGCCCGCTTGTGCTCGGACATTTTGGCTGAGGCAGTGAAAGCTCTCAGCCTTCGATGTGGTAACAAGGAGTCTCAGCCATTTACGCCACATACCGGTTAAAATGTACGAGTGGCCGTCTGCATAAAGGTCATTTATGGATCATTGGAATAGATAGAGGAAGTTCGAGTGAAAAGTAAACTGAAAAATCGGTCATTGTCAAAATTTCTAAAAAAAGTTGCAAGCAAGTACTGCAATGACAATGAATCCATTACGTTGGGCGGTAGCACAGCCCAATATTTGGCAGAATATGTAATTTGTGTTTTCGATTCTATCAAGAAAACGAGGGAAAAAGTAAGCGAATTTAAACAGGACAGATGACAGAAACCATCCACACGAGTACACTTTAAATTGAAAGAGGCGGTGTCAGTGGAGTTTGATGACCAAAAGGCAACTGCAAGTCTACGCAACCACAACCCCTCGGCGAATATACACCTAGCATGGCCGAAACCAAGATTAAAGGTGATTTGTGACTCAAACTGATCGCTTGATTAAGCCATTTAGTAAACTGAGGGAGCTGTCTAAAGTTTCTCACGACCCCAAGGTCACCTATCTACCTTTCGCTTTAAGAAAGGTGAAAAACATTACAAAACTTACTTCGGCTAATGTGTAAAAGACGATGGCTGTTCCTCGGATAACTAGGTTTCTCGCCTCTGAAACCACCTTTGGCTCGTAAAAGGGGTTCGAATTGCCCAAGTGATCGTAGTGGAAGGGGTCAGCTAAGTGAGGAGCGAAGGCTACTAGCAAGACGTTGTTGAAGTCCTCCGACATTTGAAGAGGCTGGCGCCACTTGGGGACCATCTTGGAACCGTTCAGTCTGCTGAAACGCGTCCTTGCAATTTCAGCACCCACTGTTCCTCTTGCGGCCATATGAAGGGCACCAAATCTCTGCAAAAAAGCACTCTAAGGCTCATCTCATTTTAAGACCTTAATCGATAAAAAATTACGTGGTTTGGACCCAGAGTCCGTAAGAAAGGCAGTTACTTATGTCAAAAACAAGGAACGCAACACTGAATGTGGACAAGGAGTAAGTGGAAAAGTCATGCAACTCTTAGGACTACGCCTGCTTACGGTCCGATGTTGCCGCAAAACGAATCAAGACCTTGATCCATAAGCTAGAGACCCAGCAACTCACATGTTAACGTGCAGCTGTGCTGCAGCACTTGGCGCTAGTGCAAAATGAGATTGAACTAATGGAAAAGGAGTGAATTAATTCGTTTAGCAAAATGAGTCAAAGGAAACAAGCCTAAAATAAAGATGTGGCCTTAGAAAAAGGTCAAAAAATCTACAGGATTTGCGATTGGCCAAGGTTACCACCGAAATTCCATTTTACGCAAAATCCAGACCTGAAAACATGGAAAAGGCCAAACATTGCGGCAGTAATACAGTAACTCAAGTAGTGGAACTGAGATTCACGAGTAGACACTTTTTTCGAGAAGCATCAGCGGACTTTGGGAGAGAAATCATTTTATACTTCTGGGGCGCCACAATGAATATGAAGCCAACACAACAAATCGTACATACGAAGGGACACAGGGTCCTCAAATAAAGTCACATTCATCACGAACACCAAGCTTGGGTGAATTTGCAGTTGTTCCGGGCTTGCTTGGAGCCAATCCAAAAAAAACTTTACGAACGAGCAAATGCAGTTAAAAAATTTGAAGACTTGCAGCGCTTCTAGACAGGTTATTGGACAATAAGGGAATTCACAGAATTTTAGCGCTTGAAATGGTACTTTTAATACAGTTCGTAAAGATTTAGACCTTCTTATTCATTGTACACCGTCAAGAAGCGCATACTTTTAGCATGACTAACAGGCCACAAAATACCGGAACGGAATATACAAAGGTAACTCTGCAACTGTTCTAACCTGGTATGACGCGTGACTAATATTCTTTCTTGCTGTTCAACATTGGCATTAAAGTTTCGTGCCAATCAGTATCTCGAATCGTTACCCCTCGTTGCCGAAAACACGTTAAGGAATGTGTTGGTGTAATGTTGCCACTGACTCAACCAAAGACGGATGCCAGACCGTTTGAGAACAGAACGTTGGAAAAAAGCATGCTTTTCGGCAAACTTATCGCAAATGGAGAAAGACAACACGAAAAAAGCTTCGTTAGCCAACTAACTTGTGATTTAATTGGACCAAGATGGATTACTCTCTGTGTGGTTTAGCACAGCACCAGTGCCTCCTACCCCTACCGAGCGCGTGAATTTGTGGAGAGCTTCCGTAATTCACACAGTAAGGAATTCGTTTGAATGACCTAACGAGACAAAACTGTTTGCATAGTGCCAATGGCTTCCCCCAACAGACACACGAGGGGAGGACAGTGACCAACCACCTCGAGGGGGACGCTGTAAACACTGGAAGCCTAGGGGGAGAATGTTTTCATTACAAAAAATCCAATAAACTGATGGCATAAAGTTGAGCCAAATTATGCTGTTGGTGCTGTGTGATTGGGCAGGTCTGCACCCAAAGCTAACAGACAGTAAAGGTACTTCCAATAAACCCAACGGCTAACGTTAGGACCCCTGACATCAATGAGCATTCCTTTGTGTGAAAAATGGACGCATCAGCTCAAGAGATCAAGCAACCGAAACACTCTTCCTTGTCACCGTTAATCTGATATTGCCGAAACCTGACACGCGGTCACGTGACTGCTCGACTTAGCTAATTCATTCATAAACGTAATCAATAAAAAATTAAGAGGATCAACCATGGTGACACCCTCGAATGACACTGCTGGTGCCCATATTCTCGAAAAAACATTCTGGAAAATTTCGGCAGCAGAGACAGTGAAAACACCGCGTTGCTATGAGCCGTGCAATTTAAAACGCACCTTTTGGCACCGCGCCAATAAACCATTCAACGGGAAAAGAAACCATGAAAAAAAAACCTAAAGCAAACAAGTTTTTGTATAAAGCATTCGCCCTTTTAATGACTTGGCTCAATCGCCCACAGTGTGACACAACTGAACGTGCATTGTGGTATGGACAAGTCGTAGTGGCCCAGACGCCGCACCACACGTGAGAATAACGATGCGTCACTCATTTGCCAGCCAATAGCGCTCGAGGCTCTCGTTGATTGGACCAAGCAAAATCCTCGGCGTTTTCAAACGCACGTTGAGGCTGCATTCGTGGATTCTAATTCATTTGTGGAGTCGGAAATTATGCGTTTACGGAGGTCGTGGTTTTTTTCTTAGATGTGGCCCCAAGTTTGTCAGTGTAACAATAGTTGAGGTGGAGATCATCCATATCCAGGAAAAAATGAAGACCTCAATACACAAAGGCGGTCATGCTTCGAGTCTGCCTAGATGTGCAAATGCAGGCTTCTGAGTTTTGTCTCGATTTACCATCGTAGCTAATTATGTAATTCTAAGATATACTAGAGCATGCACATGGGGCCGTGTATGTGCAAGTATTTCGACGTTATTAAAAGTGGTTCAACCCGGTTCCCAATATTACCGACTCGGAATAACGAAACACCTCATGTGAGCTTCCAATCTGCTTGCCTGCATTTTTAACAGCTAGGATTAGTTTGGACGTTTCTGTGCGGTTATGATAAACGTAAACAAGTGAGCCAGTCAGGTGACAAACAGTCCACATTTATATCTTCTAACCCTGAGAGCCACTTTTGTGCCTCATTGTGTTGTATTCCACATGAACACGCATTTACCAGATCACTTCAAACACATGCACCCTTTTTTAGTTAGCGAAAGGACAACTTGTTCACTGTTAGCTCAGTGTTAGGACCTTAAATCTACACGAGAACGATTCCCTATACAAAAATAGGAAAATCCTAAATAGAAATCTCGACCTGCCCGATTTAAAAACAGAAAGTAGCAACAAGTTTCTACCAGTTTTAGGTTCATTGTGGCATAAAGGCATCCTAGTGCATTAAAGTGGTCAGGGGGTGCCTTTGTGGATCGCATCATAAGACTCCTAAAAACTCAGTCTACTTCAACTATTCCAAACTAGAATTGGTCTCAGGTTGGTATGACATTGAACACGACGTAATGCTAAAAGCCGGATGAAAAATCAATTTGAAAACAGTGAAAACACTTTCCCGTAGGCGATTTAAGATAGAATATATAGGTTCATAGATTAACTGGCATTTATCGTAGTGGCGTACACGCAGTTAACTACCACGACAACACAAAAAATAACAAAAGTCGAAAAGAGAACGACAGGTTTGCGAATCGCGAAGAGCATGCAGAAATGGCACGCCTCATTGAGGGTTATTGCTTTATCAGACATAAAGGTTTGTAACAAATCTAGTAGAAGCAAGACATCTGCGAGAAAGTTCGTGACAGTCCCCCCCCCCGAAAACTGCAATGTTGGTGTTTCAACGGAGTTGATAATCTACTAAGGTGCCTCAAAAAGATAAAATGTTGGTGGTCCAGTAATTGGCGTTGATTCGCGAGCACAAGTGCATTTAAAAATATGTTGTCCCTTACACATTGCGAAAAGCATTTCTTGTCTCTATTGATAAAACACGGTATAAAGTCTTAGAATAGTACCGATACTAGTTACAATTAAAGTCTCATTTTAAATTACTGCTGTCATTTGAATACAACATTCTTACCATCTGTTCGTGACCTCGTCCATTCAGGAAACATTCTTCACAGTAAAGCTCCAATTCAGAATAGGACTGTAAATATATATCACCCGAGCAAACCCGAGCGATTCTCGTTTGCATCATCCATGGTTCGGTTACGCGAAATTCCTGCATCACAAAGTAAATATGTTTAACCAAGTGGGAGTAAGTGTATTTGCGTGAATTTAGACGGGATTCTTCGAGTGTGTACTGAAACGAAAATTTGTACTTGATCCTGATATCAGAGTCTTGGAATCTTAACAAACTCTCGGAGCTTGGTCGCTTGCTGGCAAGGTCAAAGTCACGCATCCTCACTGACATCGGTTCTAAAACAAGCGAGGTCGTGTCTTGAGATTGATCTTGCTCCAATCCGACATAGACAAAGTCCTCGTCAACAGTGATAGTGGAGGTCAGGGAGGCATTCCAATTGACGACTGGAATACGAATTGAGGAAAGTGGCTTAGAGGAAAACTGGGTCGCTGATGATCGTTTAGTCCACGGTTTTGCGACCGAAATATTGGAAAGTTGAAGCCGCTCACAAAAACCATGAAATACATTATAGCATATATAAAAAGCATCTTCACTTGGAAGTAAATCATTGTTTGCTGGATGAATTTCCTGCCATAAACTAACTCTATCGAAATGCGAGTCAGAGAAGTCTAGTTCGGAGTAGTTATGATTTGACGTTGCCCAAGACTTAACGAATGTGTCGGTCATGCGGGGACCGCAGTTTTCGGAGCTGTAGCCAGGAGGCAATGGACGATCAATAAATCGATTGCATGGTGCACAGGGACCCTCCGAAGAGTAGCAGAAAATTGAAAAATTTTTTGGACCGATGATTCGCTCATTCAAGATTGATAGCGAATCGGCGCTGAGCTGAAAAATGGCATTCACACGGGCGATAAACAGATAAGCATCACTAGTATTAGTGATGCGACGATACAACACTTTTGGGTGCACTGTCTGCATATGTAATTGTGGCCGAGGAAGAAACCTGAAGTCTCCAACTACGTGAACACTGATTACAAAAGGTCCTAGTTTGTTCGGGAGAAGGCACAATACAAACAAGATGCTAGATAGCATTTTGCAGTGTTGCATACATAAAATAGACGTCAATTAACTCAAAAAACCCTGTAAAATCTAAAAACGGAGGGAAGTTCAAAGATGAATAAATGACTGCTGGAGAGCACACTCGTCGCTTTTGCATAACAGAACCCGGTGCCGCCAAGGTCACAAACATTAATAGCGGGGTTTCACACAGTCAACCCTGGCTCAAGATAATATTTAAACTAACATGCCATTTCCGTATAATTTGAATCAAAGTACTGTTTTCATTTTAAATATAATTTAGTGGTAAAATTTTTAAGCAACAAAATCCGAAATTTAAAATAGATATTTAAAGCTATTTACTGAAATCCATTTTATCACATTTCATGATACAATTGTAAGACCTAAAATATGTGATAGGAATATTTAATAACTTTTTAAGGCCTCATAGCTAACTTTTAGGTGGCCACCTGCATTAATTTGATTTGTTTTAAATTGTTACTTAGTAAAGATACATATTTTATTTTTCAGGTTTCTTGTGGTAATCCAACAAAATGGGCATATTTTTAAGTTTCTCCATGCTATGTGCTGTAATTATTTGTATCTTAAATACTTATTTGAAAATTTCGGGATGAGCTTTCACTTATGTCTGCCGCAACACTATCGAAGATGTTTGATAAATTTATCAAAGTGGAAAATTTTGACAATATTTATAATGTATGAACATAAGTGTACCCTATATTTCCTAATCGCTTTCCTGATATTCTATGTGCTCAATAGTAGGACTAAACCTATACCTACAATAATTTTGTGCTTAAACCTCTTACTTGGAAAGTAAAATTTTCTTTAGTTAGTTCAAACCTCAGCTCAGAGTATATGGTTGTTGGACACTTTCGCACAATTGACTGACACTATACTACTAATAGCTGATTACCTGCGTGTAACGTAGGAGCGGGAACCTGACCTAGGAGCAGAGAAGGACTACTTGTGAGTCGACGCGAGAGGTATGGCCGAGACAAACACACGGAGTTCGGTATAGGACGAAGGCTATGAACTTTAAGAAAATTTATTCGGAAAGCCATCACAAGACGGGTAGAGGAGAGAGAAAGCCAACTTGATGACAGAGTTTGAGAGATGCTCTAAGATCCACATTCTAGCTGTTGAGTAGGTCTAAAAGGGTAAAAATGCAGGAAGAAGTTACCAGGCATGAATAGTGTTCGATGACGTGGAAGGTGGCTTGCTTGACATGCGCACAAAACAATTGCAATTTGTTATCCATTGGACTCAACTTTTTTTAATAGCTTGCTAGGTTAAATGCTTTACTGAGTACTTCTACCTGTCAATGCAGGTGAGATGTAGATGCTTATCATCGTTAGATAACCACTTTCGGACACCGCTCGACATTTTAAACACCAAATAATTGCCTCAAGAAATGCAACTAAAAATCCGTTGCAGTTGCATTGTTATCGAATTGCGTATTATTGTTAGAATTCCAACATGAATAGAAATGTATTAAATTCAAAAAAAAATTTTTGCAAAGAAATAGCACCTACTATTGTTACAGTAGTGCTCGGGAGTTTGTTAAGCAGTCTGCTTTAAAATTTAGATGTACAAAAAGGATCGGTATCTGACAAAATGTCCTTGTAAGCTCTCGAGGTAAACTTAAAATGTGGATGTGTGCACGTTCAATTTACATTTTAAATGCGATTGTTTACCTGCAAAAACATTGCAATAAAACAAGACATTAATTTAGCTGCGACCTTAAATTTCTTCCAAGTCATAGGCACTTCCTTCATTTGCAAGTGCCTGTGACAAGTTAAGTTACTGTGCACTAATTCCAAATACGTACAGTCCATTCAGTGAGAATAACTACTGCTATTTTCGTCAGTGGTTTGTTAAGTGCTAGGTGAAGTCCTTAATTTGACATTTTGATTTATAATCGTTCACCTAGTACGTTGTGCTAATGCCACACCACTCACATGTAGTACAGAGCTGGATTGTCGCTCTCCGTCTTAGAGGTGATTTATCCAGTTGCGCCGTTGCGTTTGTCTGTCACGTCACTAGTTCGGAGTTTTGTTTTTCTACTTCTTCTTCTTCTTTCCCGGGCCGTGCACGGCTTGCGCACTGGTTCTAGATGACTTAATGTTTCAGGTGCTGCTTGGAATTGGCGCAGTCGTAGGAATAGCCCTCTTCCTTCTTACATGATACTTCCACGTAGTACTGTGCTTCAATTACAGGAAATCAGTGGGCGAGCAAATTGTTGTCGCAATTTCCTGTTTTATCTTTTGCTAGGTATTTCCACTTCCCACCGTCGCATAATCCAAGCCTACATTCGTGAAGAATTAGGGGGTTTAATTACCTTATCGCAGATGTGGCATGTCAATTACTTATCTGAAAAGCGCATTTATCCTCAACACTTGAGAATGGTTAGGTGGAAATGCGACAAATAAACACCTTTCTGAAGAAAATTTGGTTACTTGATCACTTGGAGTTTTCTTGAAAACAGTCTAGATAATTAGATCCGCTTCTGTTGGCACAAAATCGAAACCCTAAAACAGAGTGACGTTAACTTAATTTAAATCAGTTGATTGAAGACTTGCTTAGGATGCAGTTCTAAAGATCACATTTTGATTAATCATCTGATGGTAGGCACCCAGTTCACTTTTGCAGCAAGTCTTGCCTCTTAGTGTACATTTTTCACATAGCTTCTCATAACATTTTAAATTGCGAACAGTTATCGCGGCCACATTCTTTGGTCTTCTTAAGAGGCTTTTTGGAAGCAGTGGCATCCAGAATATGCAAACCTTTTGATCTGATTCAAATATGGTAAAACAGACACTATCGGGTTTCGGAAAACGTAGAAACAGCCACATTTTTAATTCTCGCTACTTTTGGATCACGTAGGGGTTGTGGAATTCATGCAGTCTTGAAAGACATTTGAAAGGATGACATCACTTTCGAAGACACACTCGTGGTTATTCTAAACACATTTCCACGTCATTCCATTACGCATTAATTCCTTAGTCCCACACATTTTTTTATATTTAGCTTAAGCAGGTGAAGAATACCCGAGCCCTAGTATGAAGAAGACTTGTATAACAGAACAGGCTTTATTGAACAAACAAATCTAATGGGCTTAACTCCTCCCAGAACCAAACATCAGGTACTGTCCATCCAAAGCCACCACGCTGGCTGTGCCGCTCATTAGGCATCGCTTCTCATGCGTGTCCTTCTCTGGTTGGCTGCATATCTTCCTCGCATGCCATTGGAACGCAGGGAGACAGGGGATTGGCTGAGTCTGACGTGGTGCAATGTGCCTGCGCCATTACACATCGCGACAAGGGCACTGTTATGATGGCAAAACAGCACATGACTTGAGCCAACTTTCATGCAAAGTTGACTTGCACAAAATTCCAATTAAACACAACAGGAATATTTTAGGCTTCCTGCTTTTTCTGAAGAATAGTAGTGTCAAGAGTGGACGAATTTTATAGAAGTTCAGCGTTTAGTCTACAGTCCGGCCAGTGCAGCCTTAATACATTTTGTTTGTGTCAGCCGTGTTTGGATCTGTATGACTAAATGGAGATCGGAGTGTGTCATCATGTATCTGTTTGATTCAGAAGTTGAAATTGGACACTTGGGAATTAGAAGTGAAACAATTTCGAAGTTCCATCAGTTTCTCGAAGACATGGACACTGCTGCACCACTGCCGGCTAAAAGCATCTAAAATTGCAAAACCCGCTCTCACTAACTTATCGAATGCACTAAAGCCATTCTACTAGTGAGCAGCGATTTCGTAATGGAGGCCATCAATTCCAGTGTGTCAGAAAGTAAGGTTGAATAAACGACGTCTGCCCGGTGAGAAAAGCACCGATTCTTGTACCAAAATCAAGCCCCCAACGTTCATCCTGCGTTGATAAACTAAAAGGTCTTAATGGGGAAAGTCGGCTCCCTCCGAATCGAGTATCACCCCTCCAATCTCGAAATTTAACCTGATTTGCTCATATGCACACAAAGTCCACAAAGTCAAAAGACCCGTCTGACCAACGTCTGACGGCCCTACAAAGTTTAGCGTAACCAATACAAACAAATCTAATAAGCTTAACTCTTCCCAGGCAACACCGAAGCCCCTTCCTGATTAACACGTTGGCTCTAGTGAAGATGAACATTACTTTGGAATAGTCAGCTGCAGCGTATCAAAATAGCTACTCCGTAGTGAAAGAGCACACGTACAACGATGCTAACTCGGTTGTTGGTTTGCTTCCTTCAATCGGGGTTTTAACATTTTTTGTTCTCCTATTTGGCTGAAACATTATAACGACGAACCGTCAGACATCAAAGCGTTGCAAAGAAATTTACTGGCTAACCTTGTTGTCAGCATATGCTTAATCTTTTACATGTACCAAAATGTTCAATTTCTCAACATTATACCAAATCTCTCGGCCTTATTATTTCTTAAACTATGCCATCTACTATTCAGAACATTAAATGTGAAAGTGAGTATATTAAACATCTACTTATGAAATTTACAGTTCTAGTAACTGAGTCTCAAACGCGCGCAACGACCACCAGTCAATAACAATCCTCTTTTTTAATGGCAAATTAATTGTCCGTTTATCCTGCTACGCTCTATCTAGTCTAACAAGAAGCCATTGAGGGTAACTGTTTACGTGAGTGAGTGCAATAAGAACCCAGTGTCACAATAACATGAAGAGACAAATATTCAGTTTCTGTTCGCTTATAGAATTGCTTCGATAAGCTGATCTGGTTAACGCATATCAGAGAGAAACAAGTGCCACCATTTGGAAAAATCACATTCAAAGCGGCTGTTTGTTATCCCTCTACGTTTCCAACAAATATATTAATGCATCATTATAATCGTTTTTCAACGTCGGCGAGCATTACAAAAACGTTTCTACCTTGTCTGATAGAACACCGTACGGTAGTGCACGAAGTCTCGTCATGATTGCGCAAAAATTAGCCCCGTATGGTGAAACAAAAAAAAACAGCGTAAAAGTACATTGATGTGCTTAAGCAATAAGCCACTTCACAGGTCTTGGAGTAACTGTTTAAGTGACGTATAGACGTTGACAAAATAAATCCGAGACTGTGGGCTACTTGAAAGTGATGATAAAAATGGAAAACTTCAACACACTCACACTAGTTGGTGCTCCAAAAATTCCTCCCCAGACGAATCGTTCAGTCTCAATGAGTGCTCAAGTTCCTGATATCACGAAACAGAAAATCTGAGGCACAACAATAAACAAGGTGGTACAATGAAGATTATTGGCATACAAGCATGCTGTCATCGCTCGATCGAAGGTAATCCAAATAATACTGTTCAATTTTCATTCCAACTCATAGTACAAATCACAATTTCACCGCATGGGTTCTACGAAGGATGGTTAGTTGTGATTTGCTCGCACTACAGTCTATAAATCCTTGAAAAAATGCGTCGCATTTGTTTCGATTTCGCAGAACTTACAGGCAATACCATCGCCGCGGCCTTAATGGCCTCCATCTTAGGCAAATCTACAACATTTTAGAGTGGAAGCTCGGTGGCATCTCACAGGCAAAGTTGCCTTCAAATTCTCAAGCGTTCTGTTTTAATTACAACGCATTTTGTCTCAGCAATGTAAAGACGTGGGTTCTTGTGTCCAATGAGTTTCACAAATAGGTCGAGGAAACTGTCGATGAAAGACAAGAAAGATATTCACTTGATACGATTTGAGCATACTAGGTTTGAGTGGATTTGGTGAAAGGTCAGAAACTTTCGCGAGACACGAGAGAATCTGGGTTCATAGACGACGGAACCGTCAGGGGAATGGAAAAAAGAGGAGGATACGTCAGAGTGAGGGAGTCCACTGCTTGACTCGCCTTTCTTTGGTGGCGCTGCAGTTGCGAGCAGACACCTTCAGACTGTGCCTTGTCCGATTTCTAACAAGTCCACATTGGGACGGCTTTAATTTACTCAAAAATTGTCAGTGAATAAAAAGGATTGCGAGGCAGGTAGCGAAAATCAGGCATAAAAACCCGATGAACCAAGCCATTTACGTAAATAGCATACGCAATCAGCCGCTAATAAAAATTGCTACGTGAAAGACTACAAGGTCACAAGTGCTAGAGAGCTCAGTTCAACTAATAGCATTAAATATTAAGTTACTTAAGTGACTAGACTGCCATAAATTATGTCAATGATTAAAAAAGGAAAAGACTACAAATGTATTTTATTATGACCATGGGTGTTAGATCAATTAGGCATTTTGAGCCATCTTTGCTCAGGTCTCCGTGTGACATTGCGCCATGCTTCAGTTACCACCGAATACGAAGCCAAACAAACCACAATTGCACTCATGGCAAACTACGAGCGCAATTGCAGACAAGTACAGAAGAGCCAAATAGGTAATTTGCACGTACAAACCAACTTTAACAAGTATGACTTTTCTTTAAATGGCCATAAGCATCCACACAAAAGACTTGTAATCAATTCGTTGCAAGCACGTGTAGTTAGTCTGCCTAAGGCCGTCGGTCAGCATTATTTTGAATTGGTCCGGTCTGGTAAGGAGATTCATTCGTTGAGGATTCAAGTTCCGAGTGTGTTCAAGTGACGCCTCGTAGAACTCGCCCACACTGACCGGCGCCAGCACAGCACTCATTTTGCTCATGCGGACCCTCATCGACATGTCGTCGTCCTCGCCACCCCACCCCTCAAACGAGTTTGACGCTCCATTCATCCGCTCCAGCTGCTCTCGGGAGAACATTGTCACCCCTCCAAGAAAGCCCGGATATGTCCTAGAAGAAAAATGACCAAAATTTCCCTTGCTTATCGCCCTCTTCAAGTTTGCACGTCCGTTTGCGCGGAACCAAAGCTCCCAACTCTGTTTTGGGAAGCGATGATTGACAATCAACTAACCATGTTTACTCTCCCGGCTAACTGTACGTCATCATTGTTGTCTGAAAAGACGTTATATTTTGGCTAAACTACTTGAACAAAAAATTATTGTATCAATTTGAGACTGTTCTGTACGGAAAAACTGTAATGTTGCACACAGACCAAATTTCAACAATAGTTACTAAGGCTTCATCAGCACGTTTCTGCTCGCACGTTATGGTGTATGTGTTCCCTACAGTCGCCATATTATCCTGAAACGCATAGTGCAACGGCACAATCGATACATTAGCAACTAAATACATATGCATTGTACAAAAGCAGCGATTCAGCATAATTTATTGAGAAAGTAAATTGCATTCATGTAGATTAAGAGCGTCAATAGAGAATAAGTAAAATAATTACAGTCAAACAAAGTCTTGGGATAAGAGCCTGAGATAAACGACAATGAATGGCGTGAGTGCAAAGTCGTCACACATGAGGGTCACTAATCGTGGCATATCTTCAAGCGACTAGACTAATTAAAAAAACTGGTAAATGTATGAAGCATCAGATATTAATGTCCTGGAAACGCATTTGATAGGTGGAATACACCTTAATTTGTAAATAGTATACTGGTTCGTTTCTCGTACGAACGGTAAAACGCCGCATACAATGGAATTGGTTTCTATTTGCCACGTTTTCAACACGTACACGTGGCGTGCACACTTACGTCCACGACACTCAAATATTTCTATAAAGGAGATTTACCAATAGGTTCCTTTTGTGGATTTTCGGTTTCGTAAAAGTTGGTGTGGACCAGACTTGCAGACGTAAGGCACGTCCGGATGTATTGGGAGTTTGTCGATGTCGTGAAGGGAAAAGCACACACTGCCAGCAAGTCGGTCGTCTTTGCCGCGAGTTCCGGACATGTCGATTTCCCGGATGGCGGCATTGAAGAGCTTCGCGCGATTAAAGGGCGCGGTGCCATTCTGTTCCACTACCAGAATCTGCATTTTAGCGCCCTGGTACCGAGTGTAGGGAAGCATGTGAATCAAAAAGGTTAGCAGGTCCTTGGCGCGATCTCTGTAGGGCACAATGATGATAACTTTGGGTTTCGCTGTGTTGTGAATGGATAAGCAATTTACTCGATTGAATTCATCCTGGGCAAGCTTGTCAATTTTCTCGAGCGATAGACTCGCATTGAATACTGAATTGGCCCGTTTTACACTCACTGAGGGGTCGACGCGGTCACAGGGCAAGAGCGAGGAGGAGGGTGCAGGGGGGACGAAAGTTTCCTTCGAGAAATGATTGTACATACGAGAAAAGAAAAAGTACGCAGGCACAGCCAACAACACCAGAAATATCAGCTTTCGGCTGTAGGGGTTGGAAAACTGCATAGTCTCTCTCACTGTGAGACGGCAGTCTCACCCGTATTGTAAGCAAATTAGGGGCAAATGAAGTTTGCTGAGTGGGTGTCACCAGCACAACAAGCATAACATTACGTAGACACGCGCGCACACTTAACAGGGTAGACTCAATAACCCCAGCCAACTTCATTGGGAGAAACCGAGGCGCCAAAAGACACTGAAGCACAGACCCTGCGTTCACAAGGGAAAACACCCGAAAACCCGCCGGTGTCGCTGAGTTCTCAGAATCAAGTTAATTTCAAATTAACTACGAGCCCACCCCGTACACTATTGCTGCACAGGTTTCCACTTTCAAACTACGGGAATAATTTAAAGACTCCAACCACGTTATTAGTGAAATGAATTCGCCAAATTGATGGTCAAAAGAGGACACTTTTTCGGAGAGACTAGACGAGGCGCTACATTTCTGGCACAAATTCGGTTTTGTTCTTCATTCAAAAAACATATTTGGATGTCAATTCACGTTCCTAAACTTCACGAATTTGCAAACCATTTAAATTGTATCTTAACTGAACAATTTAATACTATCCTTATCCTTTATGCCAACTGAAACTCTTAAAGAATTTAGGGGGACGTCATTCGTGACTAAATTTTGGATTACTAAATTATTACTTGGCTGAGCAACCACTTGGTAGTTAGACACGTAAAATTCAGTTTAAACCCTTGGAGTACGCTTCCACAAAATTTTGTCTGATTTCTGATGAATGTCTGTGAATTCCACCAAAGCAACAGAAGGTTTACGTGAAAAATTTTTACATTTCATTACTAAGAAGAAGCTGAAGTCACGAACATCAAGGCCTGAAATTACTTTTGAGTGCACCCCAAACGGCATCTGTACAAAAAAGAAGGCGAATACAGAAGGCGAATTTAGAAATGCTAAGCGTCGAAAAAGGACAAGAAATAGGCAAGGCAAAACTACAGTTTTGATGGCAAATATCGTTACAGGATCCCTCCGGGGTTAGTTGAGGCGTCGAAATTCTACCGCTCGGAGTTCTTCAACCAATACCTAAAAAAACACGAGGAGTTGCTGAGGCGGTAAGTTAGCAATGGCGACCCGTGACCAAGCGCCTGCAGAGTCAGCTGCTTGGCAAGGGCAGACAAGTGGAAGAGGCAAACCAGGTCATAAGCTGCGTGCATTCACATCAAGATGCTGCATTCCTCATCATCTCGGCCCATGGTGTGCAGGTTCGGAAATTGAAAATACAAACACTGTGTTATACACTTCATGGGTACATAATTTACTGATCCAACCTGCCAAACTAATGCGGTGCTGGTTCACCGATGAAAACTAGGTATCACTTATGGACCACGGCCCCTTAAAAGGATATGACAACAGCACGCTTTAAACAGTGCCAGAGTAGAGAAGTCTACGTCCTGTATCGATAACGCACATTTGGTATGCGCTACGACAACCAAATAAAACAATCGCTTCAAAATTTGGCGGAAGATGAGCCGTTTTCGCTGATAGCGTTACTTCGAGCTCAGAGGGCAATGAAGTCCTTGAGAGCGGCCCGTACTGGGGCCATGGAATGCTTAGGACGCGATTTGGCTCTTCGCACGACGATGTCGCAGATTCGGTAGACAAACGTTTTAAGAACTACCAGGCGTGAGCAAGCGAACGGTGCGGCCAACAAGACTATAGAAATTCTCCCCTAGACACCCTAGGATGGTTTGCTTTAAAAGGGAAAAATAATGCCGACGCCTCCAGGTGAGTGGGACGAAAGCCGCTCACAACCAGGATAAACGCAGCAGAGGATACGACTGAATGTCTATAAAAGTAACCAGCGTAGCAAGAGATTGGTGAGGATGGCAAAGTGTCTACTAAAAAACCACACAAATCGACGTGTTTCAACGCAAAAATCGGTGATAAAAAGGGGCATTCAAGGTCTGCTTGGAGCTGAGGTGTTACTTGCCATTCAGTAAATCCACCGCCGTTTGCCAGCTCGCTCAGGACAACGGTGACCGACCCCATCACTCGATTCGGAGAGCTTCGCTTGAAGAGGCCACTGTGGTTCTTTATTTCGACTTGAAGCTTACAGCCCTGCATGACTTCCGATTTCACCGAAAACTCGAAGCTAAAAAGTTATAAAAAAAATCACTGGGCGAAGCGTGAGGATGGTGAACTGGAGTGGTTCTTGATGATACCTTAGGAGCGGGGTGCAGACAGAAGTGCAAAAGGACCCAACAAATAATAGACGATTCATGGTCAGAACCACAACAGCATCACCGGGGTTATTGGCTTCAAAAACATCATTTAAATTCACGAACAAGCAAACATTTACAGCAAATTCTGCAGTTGATATTAGTACAAAGGCTCTTAGTGTGCATTAATTTTAAGTACAAAGAAAGTTAGACAACTCTCTATTTTCCGGAGACTCTGACCGCGGTGAGGATCCAGTAAGTAGGATTTCAAGACGCCTCTTGGCCTATCGATGGTCACGCGTTAAGAGAACACGAAAAAACCCAATAAACTATAGTCCCTAGAGGTTGGCATGAAATGCATCTGTAATGGAAAATGACACCTTGTACTAGCACGACGGCTCAGCTCAACGATTAGGAATATTGGGCGCGTAGAAGTGTTGTAAAACATAAAAACAATAACTACGGCACTTTATTACCTCTCATCAAAGTGAGGATTGAGTTCATCCTTTATAAACCTTGTTTTTTTCGTGTCGCCTACTGTTCGACCGCAGGCATCAGTGACGCACAACTTTGCGTACGGGTTCGAAGAAGTGGATTTTTCAGAAGCCAGCAGGTTCCTAGAATTGGCAGAAAGAGACTTAGTGGATGGTACAAGCATCGAACAACTACGAGAAGCTGTGCTCCCGCGGATAAACGAGGAAGTAATCACGCCCAAATGCATCCACTGTGGTTGACCACACCAAAAACCCAATTACGCCCATGCGTTTTGAGTAGCAACAGGAGAGGCGCTTTAAGGCACACAAATAGGGACACACAAGAACACTGCGATAAGCGGAAGTTCATAATATCTTTGCGATTAATCCGCACATACGCACACACATAGTCTTGCTTAAACAGATATGACGGCAGTTTTGCGAATCTCAATGAAAAATCCTAGACGAAAAGTACACAATCCAGCTCACAACAAGGATGATCCCTTGCAGATCCACTCTATCATTCCAGGTTCAGTTGAGAACAGCGCATCTTGCATGGTATTTGGTCTGATTAACTTCCGAAGTAGATCGGAATTTACACCACTGAGCTATTGGATTGCTTAGTGTGCATTCTCGTTCAGAATGTGCTTGCACTCCAGAATGACTCGAATGACAAAAAACGAGAGGGCTAAATGAAACCTTAAGCTGAAGAAAAAAGCATAGAAAAGGCACAGAGAGATTATATCGCTTTAGAGGACATCGCAGCACAGCTCACGTGACAGAAAATTTGTGCTTGTTTCAAATGTACGTGCAGGCATACGACATTATCCGAACAAATGGTGGAGCAGAAATTAGGACTAGCGAGGCAGACAGCCGTTACAGCGCAGGCGAAACGATGCACTACTGGTTGAGTTAAGCGCCTGTGATTTCAATAAATTATTATTACGTCAAGGGCAAAAACAGGTTCTCGGTGTGCTGAATTAACTTCAATGTACGAGGACAAACGTAACACGAAACCAGAGAAGTGGGGGAAGCACAGAACTACTCCTAGCAAACCCATGAAAGGCAGGTGGAATAACAGTGAGGCTTGCGTGACAGCGCTTTAGTCAGATCAGATTTTAAGTTGTTTAGAAGGCCAAAAGAGCCCTTCATATCACCGAATCCGTCCACGAAAACGCAGACGTCTTGGCCTCAACTTTCGCCTTTTACCCAATTATTTTTCGGGAGAGGGTTGGATCGGATTTCGACCTTGGGACCGAAATCTCATCGTAAAAGTTGGATTTGCTTTCCTTAAAAAAACCACCGAGCGCTTTTTCACAACATACCACCATGAAATTCCACAAATGAGTAAGTTTCCGCATTCATGGTGGTCGTGTCTTCTTGCTCGCTGGCAACAGTTTCCCAAGTATTTGCTCTCACCGAACCGCTAAACCATGTAATAAACGATTTTCCTAGGCTGAACAGAAATGCCGATTGCATAAGGGTGACTCTAACGGTTACCTTAATCTCCTTAGAACAAAAGGTGGTGACTTTCAGCGGGGGCAGCCTAAGACCACCACGCAAAGGTTGTAAATGCAAAACAACAACATTCCCGCTAATTGAGCGTTTCACGTGGCGTGAAGCCTCACATGATTGAGTCTACCAATGGTGTCGGAGACCTGCCGAATATGCCAAAGAAAAGGTATGTTATGAAATAATGCCTAAAAACAGATTCCACCGATGCGCGGTGACTGAGTGAAGGCAATTTAATACATTCAATGCAGATGTTAAGCAGTGAAAATACACCCTGTTGCTAAACATTGCCCTCATTACAAAGATTTCAATGTAAAACAATGCTGTATGGGAGGATGACTACAATGGCAGGGCACTGGCTCACAGTAACACGCAGATGTCGTGAAATCGTGCAATTTTGAGTCTAGGAATGTGGTCTCAAAATTTGCATACTAAAAGTGCACTAAGTGCTGAAGGTGTGTATCAGACCACGTGGAAATGTAGCGGGGAAACAGGTCACGTACTCGGCGCTGTCCACTCTAACCTCAAGAATCTCCACATCGACGTCGTAGTGGATGGTGAGGCGCACACGGCCGGCGGGGTCGGGGGGCATCACCAGCGGCGGGATGCCTTCACCGCTGCCAAAGCCCGAAAGTGTGGAGACCTGCGCAAGCCGCACAAAGAAAACCAGCCTGAGAAAGGGTCACCGCCAGTGGCACCTCAACTGCGGGGGTGTTGGGTTTGTGTGTGTGTGCATCAAGCAGCCACGAGATGCAGAGCCACTACCCAGGCAAAAGTATGGCCCCAAGGATATTACATTTTTAGGTTATACGGCCTCCCTAAGGGAAAATTATCTAGCTAAGGGTGCTGTTTTATAGATTTAGAAAAATGACCCCATGTAAAGCTGACCACAAATAATCACCAACATCTGGTGGCATAAAGGAGGTTGATTGATATTACATCGACAAAATGCACGATAAAATGTCTACTTAAATGACAAAAAGCAATTTGGTTTTCTGAGGTGAGGATGGGTAAACGAAGGAAGTTGGCACTTTTAAATACATTTAAAAAATCGCAACACATTCAATGTTTACGTCGCTTTTAGAAATCACAATCCTCTTCCAACACACCGGAAGGCTAATAAGCTATATTAAAAATCAATAGGTCTCATTTAACAATGAACCCAGAAACACGAGCATGGAGAAGATGGAAATAATCTGCCATTAAAATTGCCGTGAACCACCTTGTGCGATATCGCCACGACGATACTCGCAACCGATACCTCACCCGTCTCCACCGAGGAAACAATCACCGTCAATCACAAATATTCGACACAAGGGAGGCAGGCATAGCACGTTAATACGATTCATTCTGTCCGTTAGTCCACTCATAATTAGATATTAGTACGATCAAGACGTGCTCCCCAAGACCCCTGCTTCATTACGTGCACTCGGAATTTACACGAAAACGTACTTTCGAGTCGCCGGTGCGTCGGCGAACAACGCTGTCAGAGCCGGAGGCGCTGTCAGCGGTCGCCACCGCCGCCTCAGACGCCAGCGACGCAACTTCGGGTCCTGTGGCTGCGGGCGAAGGACTTCGGGAGTGACTGGCCGAGTCCACCGACCCTCTGGCCGCTGGAGGACGCCGGTCAGGCCCAGGCAGCAGCGCCTGCAACAGCAGCGTCGAGGGAAAAAGGCATGCGTGAGGCCGTGGAACACCACACCACACCAATCAACACAGAGATCAAAGTGGCACGCTTGCTAGTCTCACCGGGACTTCATCCGCTCTCGGTACAAGAATTCGCAACAAAGCCTGACAACAGGCCTATTTACACTAAACGTCAATGTTCTCGTTGAAATAAAGACTACTTACAAACTAGTGGTAAAGCGAATCGATTAGAGACGTAGCGGGTAGTTTACTATTCAAGGTTAAATAGTCTATGACACCAAATGTCTGAGGGACTCGGCACAAAACCCTAATCGCCACTGCTGCCTAAAACCAATGAGGAACAATTAGATTCAGTGGTTTAGAAGTGACACCCAAAGCACTGCTTGCCGGCGATCAAAAACAGCCTAGAGGAAGTGTGGATTGCAATGCCGGGAGAACTCGACCTACCCGGAGTTCGAGATGGAGGTAGAGGAAGGCGTTGTCTTGACCGGCAGCGTGGAGAGAATAAGGCTGGGTTACGGTCATATCCTTTTCCGCCTTCAGGTGCTTCAAGGGAACCGCGAGCGTGCCCAAGACAACCTCCGATCGGCTATCCCGAATCTACGAAAAGGCGCGGAGCGTGGAGAAAAAACAACGCGCACATCAGATGGTTTGGAAACATCAGGAGATTGTGGACCACTCGCTGGCACAAGGCCAAACCAAGTGCCATCGCTCACTTCACAGCGCTCACAGCTCATGTCAGATACACTTTCTCATATCTCAGCACCAATAAAGGGGACGCTACACACAAAGTCACGCGTCAAGCCCACCTCGTCGTTTAACCATCGCCCTTGTGCCCGATTTTTGTGAGTGTCAGCGACGTACAAGACATTACTCAAAACACACTTGGATGCTTTGGACATGCGAATGCTTTCATGTCTACCCATGGCGTTGCGTTCACTTAATACGGAAACACGTATTGGACAGAAATTAGCGCACGATTTTACAAAATATGCATGAATTACCAATGCTTCAAGTTTATTGATCCTAGTTTTATAAAGTCAACATCTCGGAGTGAAAGTGTGCGATTAAATCCCGTGGCTAATTTGTAGATGCAGTTGCGCTTGAGTCACCAAACCATTTTTCGGCTAAAATTCTGGACATCTCGGCAAAACGCACGACCATCGTGCCGGCTTTTGATGGACACAATTAGTTCAAGATTCGCAGAAGTTAAGGCAGAGTTGCGCGCGCTCGACCATTGACCGCGAAATCATCGGTGGATGCTGGAGGAGGTGGCGCAAGGCGCAACCCGCTGGTGCGTCGACGACGACGACCAGAGGAGAGGGGATTTTGGGTGCGGTGAATATTTCGCTTCGTTTGAGGTTCCGCACGAAAAACCGCCACGTGTGCACTTCGAGGTGGGCGACCTACCTCGATGTTGAGGGTCTGGATCTCGGGGTTGGAGAGGAGGAAGTGGTGGAGGGAGTCCCACACGGGATTTTGCGTCTTCTCGCGCACCGCCGTGTTCTGCACCATGTTGCCTATTTGCAAGACACAGTAGGGAGACGGCTCCTGGAAAAACTTCAAACGCTGAAATGGTAACAAGCGAATTTGGTGCAAGTGGTTTTACACACAAAAAAATCGAGAAGGTTTACGCTTGATGACAATAGCGACCGCGAGGAGTTAGGATCTGCGATAGAAAGCGCTATCGTGTGCCAATTAAGCTCGAAAAACCCCGATAATGGGCTGCAATTAGTTGTTGAGTGCGGGACCTCAACAGACAAAATTAAGCAATTGTAATGCGTATAGGGAAAAGGCAGTCAATAGGACCACGTAGTTATTTTACGTCAGTGTAATTCACGTCAAGTAATTGGCTAAAATTGCGAAGCAATAATCATTTAAGTAGAGGATTAATGTTTGCCTACGAACCCTTAACATTACTGGACTGAGGCAGTTCACATTATGCTAAAAGAGGAAAATTCATTCGAAAAAGCAAATTGGGGGAAAAAACACCATTTAGTGACGGTTCACATAAAACCGCTACAGGGCTGTAAAAATTATAGACTCAACACGCATCAGACTTGATTTACTTTTAGCCATATTTTGAAAATGGATGATATGCACAGTCGTTTTTTAGGCGGGCTGTCTTAAAAGCAAATAGCGAATTATAGGCCTCAAAAAAGTGATAGCACATGGCAGAAGTGACAACCCAGTGTGAAATACGGAATTGTGCTAGCACGTTGGTATACCAACAACTGGGCATTAGTGGGCATTGGAGAATGACCAGTGCGCGTTAACAAACCGACATGTCCAAAAATGCGATACAAATGACTAAGCCCAGCCTGGAGACAAAAATGTGCATAACATGGAGGAGGTAGTAAGGTAGGCTGGTTAAGAATATTTCACTCAAACGGTGCTGTGAAGCTTCCTACCATCAGGTTTTTGGCCTGTTCAACCCGAACGAAGAGGCAGCTGGTGAAGTTGGTTTTGCTTGAGAAGGACACTTGCTGATCCAGTTCAGCCTGAAAGAGACAAGTGGTTCAAGGAAATAAAGCCTCGCTTCACTACCGAAAGCATGCGCTGACAACTCGACTTTCAGCCAGATGTACAAACTACTGGAAAAAAGGTGTGCTCATTGGAATTTTAGACTTGCAAGTACAGTCCCAAGTAGACTGGATTTTACCAGTGTCAGACAGCGCAACACTGCTTATAAACCAATCATATGTTTGATGTATCTCTCAAGAACTTCAACGTTTTTAAAACGGTGGAAACTGTGCCTACGTAAACTAAAATTTATTAAATCAATGAAGAAACATTACAGGGATTGTTCAGTACACACCTCCACGATTAAGATATTAAAGTACGTGACTTCATTGTGACAATAAACAAAACAAGCTCCTGCTAGGTGTCCTGCAACGGCTTAAATGCACTTGCACCAGTTCTAGCGAGAACTATGCGGTTAGAGAGCCTGGAATATAAGGGACGAGAGGCTTTTCATCCAGAAACCTTCCTTCCAGACGTCCCTTATTTTAAATGACAGCCCTCCGACTCAAATACAAACTCCCATATCAGGTGGTTATGGATTTACCACAGGAGAAATGACGGTTACCATGGGACGGCGGTTATTGAGTTATTGAGTGAGGGTAGGGTGCCAGCATGCGATCTTCTACACAACTCGTCATAACCACAATAGTCGGGTTGAGTTTGCGCTATCACATCTACTTTTACCGCCACGCATTTGGCATTAAAAAGGAGTGGAAACCTTCAGTGGACCTTCGAGTGGAAGCTGAAGGGGTTTTCGCATGGAAGGCTCAGCATGACGACCTGGTAATCGAAGAAACGCACTGGTGAAGGTAGATCGAGTGGAGGTGTAAAGGGCAACTTACCACTGCGAAATCAGATGGATTAGTGGACAGGTCCAACCAAGTCAGTTTGACGTGCACTTTGCCCCGTTGGACGCCTTCTAGCATCTTAACCTAAGAAATGTAAAAAAACCACAGGTTTTTAATCATTTGGGGGTTACACTGAGTTGAAGTCCTCCTTGAGCCGAAGATGAACTTCAGCATGGAATAGCCTATTAAATTTTTCATTTATGCTCCTTTCAATCACAACATTTGGGGTTCTATTGTTAAAAACCTAATCAAACTTGGCACAGCGATTAGCTACAGCTACTAGGCTGACTCCCGAGCAAAACAAATCCCTTCCTCAATCTCACAATTGTTTAAGTGCTACAAATGGTTCCCGCAGCAAATTCGAGAAGGGACAAATATTTCGCGGCTTGGGGCGGTGCAACCGTTCAAACAGACCAGATTCTCCGTTCAAGTACGTGCGTGGTTGACACCAAACAGAGGCGCGCACAGATTGCATATTTATTCAAGTGGCAGGGCAGATATGGTAAACACACGTGTCGCATAATGACACTGATGCACAACGTAGCCCTAGAAGAGAGCACACGACGTGGCTAGATTCCGCTGACATCGACACTACTTAGTAGTAGTCTACAGGATGGGACTAAAAATGTATTCATCGTTTTAGATTAAACCGCACATTCCCCTAGAGTCCCGTCCCCAAAAAAATTCCTAGAGATTGTTTGATGCTTCAAGCAATGAGGACAGCACAGATTGAGAAAGCGAGTATTCTGGTGCGTGCCATCAACTTTTTTCTGCTATGAACAGTTTTTTGACATACAAAACTGCACGTGTCAAATTTTCATTGGTTTAGTTCTTTCTCTGTGCAGAGTTAATGTTAACTGAATTCATAAAAACGAGTTTTCAGTAAGGAATAGCGTTGGTTTGATGTAGATTTAAAAAGACGAAGAGTTAATAGAGAAGCGACATTGTACAAATCAGATTGTGGAGTTCAAGATTGTTTTACGATGATAACTTGGAGTTGTTCAGCTTATTGGAACCACAACATAAGTTGATTATCCGATGCGTGTTAAAATTACACTTTAGTGGTTTGCGTAAATGAGGCCAATACAATGGGCGCGCAGAATAACGGCCGTCCACACAAAACAATTGACCAACCAGACGGACATTCGGTGACATTATGAATTTTCGCTCGTTACCAAGGCGCGTCGGTGAGACTGGCTTCACAGTTAATAAGGAAAGAAGCATAAAAGAAATCGTCTTGATGTGCTTTTAAAAAATTACTTTGTTTAGATTTCAAAGCACATAATTTTTTTTAAAATTAGGACCTTACCAAATTTAATTGGCCACACAAGTAAACTTGCTCAATCGGGATTGATGTACTAAAAAGAGACAAAGAAACACCTTGGCTGTGCGCATTCACTGGCACCCGCATAAAGATATTGAAGGGTGCAAATAGCAGACAAGACAACGTAGACAACGACTCGTGGTGGGCCGAAACACGGCAAACGCCTTGTGGGGGACGACGTTCAGGGTATCCACCATGCGACGCAAAAACACCAAGAGTGGCCGTCCCCTAAACAATGTTTGTCATTCACTAACAAGAGACATTGGGCTAATTTTTCAGCTAAGCCCCACGTTCCAGGCACCACCGTTTACCGTAATTCAAATGTTTGTTCGAGATTTAGACAAAACGTCAAATTGACGCAAGAAATGCTTGATAATTGCATGAACAAAGGGGCGTGCTCTAATTCGAAGCTAAAAAAAGCACCACTTAGTTGAAAAATGTTTTGATTTGCTTGATCATAAGCCTAAAGTGTTTTGTGAGAATAAGGGAAAACCGACAATAGGATAAGGGTTGATTGTGAGCAAAACGGAGATATACCTGCTACCGAGAATAGAGGCCACACAGCCACAAAGACGGGCTCGATTAGACTATATAAAAGATGCGAACTCTTGCGATCGTTATTACATGAAACTTGACGAAGAAGAACGGCAACTTACAGACCCAATTCATCGTCTTTGCTGCTTTTATCTTCATCCCAAACCTCGATCACCACAGACTGGCCTATTCGCTGATCAACGATCGCCTAAATATGGCAAATGGCTTAATTTAATTTAAAAGAAGATGAAACATAGGACTACTAAGATAGTAACGAGTGGGCAACACAATTGTTATAGCCGAAACCATAAGGACTGTTTCATGCAGTAAACATAAGACGCAGCCTTTTGAAAAAAGCCGGACACGAAGTCTACCAGATGTTCAGTTTATGTTTAAGGTATTTTTGGGTTTGTGCAATTCTGAGAGCTTTAGAGTGGATCTGGTGGGCCAGTTGTCCGCAACTCGCAAAAAAATAATTAAAAAAAACATTTGTTGTCTAAAAATCGATTAACTGGAAAATGAATTGGAAATTTTGCCAACATGCTTAGATCAACGCCAGACAGAAGGGTTAGCTAACTTTACTCCCAAAAGATTACAGGAGATTATAGAGTAAAATGAACGTTTTGAAGAGTACTTGTGTTTTAATATTTCCAAATGGGTCTCAGCAGTTTCACGACACCAAAAGAGCTGAATTCACTTTAGACTTGATAGCGGTCAGGTCAAATAGAAAATTTGCGATTTACACCGTTAAAAACCAAACAATTTCCCCGGGGTTCGACAGTTAATTTGTTTTACGCAAATTGGGCCTTTCGAAGACTTATGCGGTGGTACACCATTTGTTTCGTTCAAAACCTCAATTTCTTGTTAGAACGTCAATGACAATGGATAACACACATAACAATAAAACGGTCTTGCTGAAGTGGACTTTGGTCCGGATGAAGACGAGGGTTTCACAACCCTCGAAACGTGAGGCACTTTACATGACTGCGTCTCTAAAAACTACTAAGATATAGCGCCACTAGATGCACAATAATGTTTATTTTTACCCACGTTCAACAACTATTGCCAATACATGAAAATCACATTGAAACTCCAAGAGTTTGTCGCACAAGGCTAATCATTATGCACACTGAAAAGACAATCCATTATTTTAATGCCGTGAAAGCAACTGACATTTGCTTTAAATAAAAAAAAAATGAAAGGGTTTTGGGCGCAGGGTAGCACTTACGACAAAGCATTCATTCCATGTCGGGTTCAGCGTTTTAAGCTTCACACTGGTGACGAACTTTTCCGCGCCAACTATACAACAAAAGAATCCCATTCTGTGATTGGAGCTAAGGCGTGTACAACCAAGCAAAACCCAAAAAAGTAATTGAGAAAAAAGAACAACGGATAAATAATCATGGTAGATTTGGTTTGGCCAAGTTGTTATTTATGTTCAGACATCGAGAGACTGTGGTGTCAAACTTTGGCTTCTGCAGGTCTAATGAGAATAAACGCACACATACACAAACATGTACAAGCCTGTCTCACCACTATGTGTCTGTGACCATCATCGCCACCGTCATCACCATAAGCATATTCACACTCCTTCGTGAATATCTACTGTCCAAGTGGATGTTGATCCTCAATAAGCACATTGCAAAATAACGCAATCATAAAAGATAAGCTAACAAAACATGACCGACTTTATGCCTTTTCACTCCTAGCTATGTGCGTTAAAAACTATCGGTTGGTGCCTTGTGCATTGCGAAAACACTGCGTTAAAGCTCCCAATAAAGTCGCTTATTTGAAATGTCTATCGGAATGGCTGCGTTGGCGGTACAAGCTCCTGCAGTTAAAGAATCGTGATAAAAATTAATGACAGGGCATAAGCACATCAAAGAAGTAGAGCAAGACCACATTGAACAAGACAATACCTCGAACGACGCAGTAGGGGTCGGAAGACTTTCCCACAATGTTCACGTCAGAGGCCACAAGGTCACTGGCGGAAATGACTTCGATGCGGACAGCGCCCTAAAAGCGATTTAATCGGGTTTCAAGAGCATTACTGCCTTCTACCTCGCAATCTCGTGGAAGGAAACCCTAAGGCAACGCTCCAATTCATCGATTGAGGTCGTAACTTGACAATGAACATACATTTTCAGACACATTAGACACGCCAGATGTCGACCTGCTAATTCTTCAGATACAAACCAAATAGTTTTGTGATCGAAACTTTCTTGGAATTTTAATGACAGGATTCACAAAGCAAAGCGTTTGTTATTGGTTAACTTTAACTAAACCTGTTAATAATTTACCACCTTTGTGACGATTTTACAGTACACAGAGATTCATTCCGTCCATGAAGTTACATTAAATGAAAACGCCCCCTGACTTTTATCATGTAGCCAGACAACATACATTACGCTATTTCAGTTAGAAAGCATTAAACTTGCTTCGATGTCATGTATTGTAGGCTCTTTAAGGCCTCCTTCTGAAATAATAATCTTTAAGATTAAAGGGAGAATACCACGCTACAAACACCTAGAACGACGCACACGAGCAAATTCGGGAAAATGTACTCTTAGAAACGTGGGGAGACTAAAAAGTGTTTCGTTATCATTCAGAATCACTAAAAATTGAGTTTAATTTGATGAATATTTGAAATTTTACTATAAATTCGGCAATATTTGACAGCAATTTATAGTGTTAGGCAAAGAATAAGCACACGATTTTACAAACACAGGGTCTAGCTATTCAGTTAGCTGGTCTGCACGTAGGGTTATGGATGAACGAAAACGGTTTCAATGATGACATTTTCCCAGAGAAAAACCTAAAAAAATATTAAGCTGGGGCTCAAACTAATTCAAAAAATTTACGAGGACATGGTTGCATTTTTAACATAAAAATGATATCATGACACAAGTGACGAGTATTAACAATCAGGCACTTGAAGCGCCTACACAAGCATCTCCTGGGGTAGTTTTCAGAAGATTTCGAAAAAGGAGCCAGGATATCGAAATATTTGTGATGTGCATACCATCAGGGAATTAATGAAGCTGAATATTATCAGCCAGGCAACTAAAACATCAAAACTAGTACTGACCTGAGCAGAGGGGAACTTAAGTTGTTGAAGAACGAGGTCATCAACCAAGGGGACTAAAACCCGATTGGGCAGTACACAGAGAGAGCCAACAACATCCTGGATTGTGCGGTACAGTGTCTGTCTATTAAAATTAAGCACGTGAATAGATTGTGTTAATAAATAGTTTTAAATTCTGAAATTATGACTCACTGAAGTCCAGGCATCGTTAAAATGCTCCCGAGATGCGTTAAGAAGAAGTTGATGTACTAGTGAAACCCAATATAATTAATTAGAAACATTACTGGGTTATCCAAAAAGCAAGCTGTCACAGCTCCGGCGAAGGGAATCTTAGGAACCAGTGGTTTAATAAAGATGCGCAGAGTTCCTCTTAGCTATTAAAAAAGTAAATGACATCTAATTAGGAGGATGCATAAAACAAATGCAAAATGAAATCGTATTGAATGGTAATACCAATTTGGGACGGTCCACAATACAAGAGTAATTTTAAAGGACACTACGATGACCAAGAGAAACGAGTACAATTTTTTTACTAGATCGACAGAAGATCATTATATAAATCTAGAACCACAAACCAAGTTTATGTAAAGGGAATTCAGCCTACCTCAAAATCCTTAACACCAGCAACTAATTTTCCTACAGCAACTTTAATTCGAGCATCACTATAAAACCTACAAAACTAAAGCTCAATATGATGGTTTACATTAAGTCAACATCCATGACGATTTCATCGCGACGAATACTTTCTTCGGTGTAAACCTTGACACCACCAATTCGAGGAGGCTAAACTTTCAGTAAAAAAAAAGTCAATTCGAACCGAATCACCGAGGTCAGTGCGAAGAAAGATAAAAGGTCGTAAGGATGTGGGGAGGTTTTTATTTACGGCTGGTTGAACTGTCTCAATTAAGATCTGGTTTACGTATTCACTTATGTAGGGCCACATCCGTTGGATAATCTAAAAACTGGTTTTTCAGTTGTTAACTTACTTTGTTAAGCCATTCAGCTCGCTCAATATCCGGAAAAAACACCTAGTGGCGTCGGAAAAAAAGACACAGGCATACCCAGGACGGTAGCCCGCAAGTACCAATATTATTAAGTATATATGACTTCTCATCCGAGCTAATTGCCTTCATTGCTCCTCTGATAAGACTGCGTCTTTCCTGTGCACGGGAATAAGCCAAGTAACCGACGGTCCCTAATAGCACCCAACAAGGACTAAATTTGTAATAGCCCAGACCCCAAATGGCCAGCCAACTACCGAGGAGCTTAATATATGCACGAGCCACTGGCATAATACCGGACCTTACAGCGGCTTTTTCCTCCTCAGGTAGGGCATTATCATCTTCCATTGAATTAAATACAAAATAGAGAAATGACGAAAATCCACAAAAACTAGCACGATAAACCCTCGATACCCAGACGCAAGACGCGGGCCTTGAACAGAGGGACAATAATCTGAGCGTTTGATAAATAAAACAAAGATAGGTATAGGCAACCATGAGGCATAATCATTAAAATATACTGTGCTGCTGACTTTACTAACATTATTAAAATTTCAGTCCCATAATCTCTAATCCTTTGTAGGGTTTGGCAGAAAACACTTTGCTGCAAGTTCAAGCATTCCACATAAAAAGAATTATTTTGACCAAGGTGTCCCGAGGATAATTAACATTTTCCGCATATCATTCTTAAGGTAAAAATTCCAAAAAACAGTTGGCACTTTGCTTAAAAATTTTCAGGTAAAATTTTAAGCTTCTTGAACTATCTGTAATACATCAACAGCAAATTTAATGGGGCGCCATGTAAAATCCCAAATACTAGAGATTTAAGCATGAAATTACGTTTGTTTTTGCTATGGCCTTGTTGGTCTAGTTGACTTGTTGATTGCACGTTGATAAGCTTAAAGAATTCGATCTTATCTCTCAGTTTAATTCTTCTTTATCTTTTTGAATTTACGGAAGCTCAAATTTAACCTAATTTCCAAAATCTCGCTGCTTTTTAATTTATAATTTAATGTGAAGTTTATAGACTAAAATTGATGTTAACAATGCTAAATCGAATTTATTGTCTGATTGGTAGGCCAGGACAAACAATATATTTTTTTATTTTTTTTCCTAATTTACTGAAATATGATTTAAAAGGAACAGAAACTTGAGGTGCAAATCTTATTTCCTTTATTTATTTCTTGGTGGGATGCATTATAAATAAGCGGAAATTCATTCATTATCGCACAATATTGAATCAGTTAATGAAAGCAAACCTGAAGGATAGAGGATATCATTTTGCATAAGAGGTGGCTTGAGATTGCATTTATTTTTGTGATTAACTTTGTGGAATAGAATAATGTAATGTAATACCCAATATAAATACTTATCTAAAAGACCATACTATATACTTTGTGACAGAAATAGACATGTGTTTAGAAACTAGGAGCATGAATTTTCGATGTATATATCATGAGAAACATGGGTAAATTCTTAACTTACATGTTTATTGTCCACATTGGAGCACTAGGTGGCTCAAATTACGGTGGGACATTTAAGGGGGTTATATGCTGGTAGTCGTCCGAAAAATGGTTTAGGGCTATATTTTTTGCAAAATCAGTATTTATGGAAGGAAAGGAACAGTAGTTATCCGAGAAAGCTAAACATGTGGCTCATAGAAATTCCTTTCCAGAGTTTTGTATTGTGCATATATGCTGCTGTTTGTACTGGTCGGATCACCCTAGTGGATTTTTTCAGCAAACCAGAATGCTATGAAGATAAAATGTATATGCCTTGTTTGAAGCAATAAACATCTACTTCGGTGCGCTTTGTTAACTTATTTTGATTGGCTGTTATTATTTTTGTGAAAACGTTTTCAGCATAGCCAAAAAGGTCAAAGGCGACAGGTAAAGAGTCCGGTGGGGAATGTCCTAATGTGATGAAACGTGCTTTTAGTTTCCTTTATTTTAAGTACAGAGCCTTGACGTAAAAGCGGTAATCGTTAATTTATCAAATCCGAAATTGCACACTCCTATTATAAATTGCTGAAGAGGCCCATCGATAAACCTCACCAAGGCGTTGAGACTGGCATCAATGTGGAGAACTGCTTTATGAATCACATGGAAGGAAAAAAAGCATGGTTTCACAGAACCCACGTCACGTGTGATTGTCAATGAATTTCATGCAAGCTACTTCACGCTAAATTTTGAGTTGAAAAGAATCCAGAGTTGTAAAAATCCTTGTTCTGCATCCATGGTACAGCTAAATACCTGGATATGATGCTGGGAACTGATAAATGGGACGGAAAAGCCACTAACTTTTGTTAAAAATTGTGAAGTTTAAAGATTACATTTAAGGAAGCATGAAGACACTTTCATGAATCCGAAGGAAGGCCTCGGTTAGATGCAATCTTAATCGGAAAAAAGTAGTGGTTTGAGTTTTGGGGCAATTTAAACTTAAAAAATTTGATCAAACAGTAAAAAGGAAGGCCAAGAGTTGTTCTGAAAATATTGTGCAAATGTCATTTCATGTCCGAAGCAGCGTTTCGGAATTCGACGGCATTGGAAAGGCGGTTATTTTGTACAACACAATAAATTAGTCACAGCTAATTTAGCGACAATTTTATCCAAATTGTCACCTGAGACCAACTAAATAGGCCTTAAGAACGCTGCTGTTGCCAATGGAAATCTGACCATCCCAAAATACAGTAAGCCACATGATCCTTTGAATCGTTGACGGCGGAGTTGTGTGTGCTTATCGCTTCGTCTGAAGTGTTGTTTTACTGGACTGCTTATTTTGAAAAAGCTGCTAGCTTCTCATGTATAAGATCCTATTACCAAAAATTTCAAGGGCAGATAGTGACAACCATTAAAAGCCTCATGTATTTTGATGCTAAACATTTACTTTAAAACTTTGTATATTGATGAGCTTCTATTGCAATCGTAGAAGCCAAGTGTTTAAAATAGGTAAACGTTAATGAGTCACAGCAATCGTAATTTTTCTACTAGTACAAGCTTTTCATACGTTGGGTGGAGTCACTATGCGCATAGTTTTGTATACCCATACAATGACGATTGATCTGATTTGCAGCAGGCCTCTTGTGAGAACCAAGTGAACCAATCAGATTGCAAATCATTCACAGTTTTACTTGGCAATCCTTGCTGTACCCAAAGTAAAATTGCATTGTATTTCTCAGACATACAACATGGATACAGACATTTACGTGTTACAGGCTTTTTACTGTGGTTTTTGTAGCATTCGGCATCAGCCATTTGAAGAAAATGATATTCCTGATTACTTGGCCCGCCGGGTACAACTGAAGCCACGTGTGGCATGCACAATTCATGGTGATATATGTGGTTTTGTCGTCACAACAGCAAAGGCTCGAGCCTTTCCTGCGGCCGTCATTACTGGATATTTTTCTCTAAACAACGCAGCCCATACAGTAGCAGTCAGACACTGCGAGACCGACCACTTTCTTGCTGGTTATCGATTTTTCTCCTTTGATAGCACTGAACAACAGGATTACTTCGTGCAGTACCTCGATTCACTCTTGGACAGCCTTGTAAGCATGGTTAAAAGGAACAGTACCTCGCACTATGATTACCCAATGGGCAGATGGAAAGGAGAAGGCATAAAACGACACAATAACTACGGGATCCCCTCCTTAGCACCTCATTATGGCGGCCACCTTCCTCCACCGACATTAAGCAGGCCACAGAGGGGACAATTAAGAGTGAGCGATTCTTCTAGTATATCTAAAATCCCGCGTTCTAATCGAAAGGAAAGTGGACTGAATATCCATAAAAAAAGGCATCGTGTTCCCTAACAAACACCAAATTCATTTAGTTTCCCATACTCTTTTAATAACACCAGATCTAAGCGTAATCCTTAAAAACCTCTTTATTTACCTGCTGCTGTACTTTAGAATATATTTAAAGCCTTTGAAAACATAAAAGTCTTTATCACTTTAGCAAAACTGCAACATTTCTTAAAACAAAGGAAAACGTGAATTTTTGCCGATTTTTTGCTTCTACTACTTAAATAACGAATCTGTCACTTGGTAAAATATTGATCTAAAAGGTTTTGCTCATATCAAATATTGTAAAAAGGTAGTGAAAATGCTAAACAGAAACGTCTTAGAACAGATTGGCCTAAAATTACTTTTTCGGTACTAACAAACAGTCCCAGTAGTGGTCCGGTAGTATCGATCAAGGTTGAGTAAAAGATGCGAACAATTGCCAACTCAGGTGACGGTGATGGCGATGACGTCATCCTGTGAATGTCAATTCACCTCGAGTCAATTTCGTTTTCCACTTCCAAGCCTATCCTCTCCCAGAAAGTGCAACTGAAATTCAATCGTTTTGCTTAGGCGAACCGCAGCACCGCGTTTCTGTGCTGATATTTGAGAGGGTTGCAGGGTAGGCATTGTTGTGCAGTCCATATTCCGAACTTGACGGCATGCGTTTGCAGAGGTTCTCGCTTTTGTCTCACAAAGCCAGTGTATTTTCGCATGTTTGCGTTCGAAGGCGAGTTTCTTGGGAGCCCGAGATTAGCTTCAAAGGTAACTTGAATGTGCGTTTACTTAAAGGCACGGTACGACGAATATTGACAGGTCTGCGCACTTGCTCACGTTCTTATCATGGATACGTTAGTTGGTTCATCGTTATAGGAAAAACCAAGCCACTGAACAGCTAATTTGAGAGCATTTTAACACTTTTTCGGGAGGTTTGGCTTTAGTTTACCAAATTATAATTTGCGTCGAATAGACGTACATGGTCCATTTTCAGTATTGCGCTTTTTAGTTCACCGAAATTGGCAAATTCGAGTAACCGTTAAAGCGATGTGAAAGTGATTTGACTCCTACTATTGGTTGAATATCTTAATGAAATGGGAACCTAAATCCCCTAAGTGCTTGTTCTGAATAATGGCATGTGGGTTATAAATTCCCTACTTGAAATCGGCAGATTCCTGTGAAAATCTAAACATCATTCGCATAGCGCTCTTTCCTTCTAGGTTCCCTAATCTCCCAAAGATGTTGGTATTTATTTTGTGCATCTCTTACATAGTTAAATTATGTTACACGATATCTCAGCCTTTCAAAAATTGATCACAGTATTGCATGGGGATAACCAAAAGCCTAATTTGGCTTTGTTAATGCATGAAATTGTGGGACCTTATTATCTACACTTCTGTAGGGTCATTTGTAGTTCTTCGTGGAACCATTTCTACCTGCAACCGCGTCTTTTGAATGCCTGCGTATGAGTTCCTTAGTGAAAGGTTGACTATCTCGTCGATTTTAAATTATAATCGGCATTAAAAATTACTTCGATTTACACTGTTTCCTCTATTAACACAATAAATCAGGTTAAAGGGGATTCAGATAAGGCAAAAAAGTCATTTACTTGCTTGTTAAAACTGTTCATGAATGTTTCATTTCATCAAACTTTAGCTTATCGACGAGATGAGAGCACAATCGTAGGGCACCCTGGTCAGTTTGACTCGATGAAGTCTTTACCTTCTCACTAGCAAACACTTGTATTTAAGTGACTTTTTCTAGAGAGAACCAATGTAAATGGAAGCCAATCCTTAATTCTGCTACAAAAAGTGCAAATTGCCGAGATTGTTAAAAGTGCCGAGACTTCTGCCATCTCCCACCTGGCTGCCTGCAGGTTTGCTTGTCGATCAGGGCTATTTATGTGCCAGTCCCCTGTATTTGGGATTAAATTATGTCTATCGAAGATGCCTATAAAAAAACGTCTGATACAAAGAATTGCTTTGCAGAGCGCCCCGTGAAGAGAGGTGTATGTATAATAACTTATTATTCGAAAGTACCTATGAGTGACTCCCTGAATGCCAAAAAGGCAATTCTCATAAGCTGTTAGCACAATTTTCTTTTGTCACCCAAAATCAATGCTTTTCTTAAAGAAATTGCACCCAATGATTCTTAAGCATCCCCACAACCTGATTTTTTTAATTAATTTGTGTTTCTGATCATGTCATTATCATCTTGAATTCCCACGAAAACAGCTAGAAGGCACCAATGACGTTTAGGTGGTCAAAATGTGTTGAAGTTCACCTCCTGAATATTTTCCGCGTTTTGCAGCACTAAAATTGCGTTCACAGTTTAATGTCTAGATGGCTTTGTGCATAAAATGATTAATAACTAGGGGGATGTTTTACTTCGTCTTGGGAGCTATTTACCAGGCCGTTGTTTTTCGAAACAATTAATAAGGAAGCATGGCAGCACGTAGCTTAAGTTTAGCAAGATTCACAAGTGGGAAGGTGATGCCACGGTAGCCGTTCTAGGACGCAAATTATTGGAAGAAAATTTTGAAAAAAGGGTCATTAATTTCCTGTTGTTGTTTGACCTAGTGTAGGTTCACGGAGTGTTTTCAAAGTGAAAACCTATTGTATTAACCCCGTTGTATGCATTTTTTTCCCAGAACATGCGTATTTAAGACAGGCTAAGTTTACGACGTTGCAGATTGCGCAAATAAGCAGTCACGTGTAGCCCTACGAAAACAATTTTTATAATCGCTGATGCAAATAACACTTTGGGTCAAAAAGCGTGGCTCAGCAAGTAAATTCAAACTTACAATGCTAACCTCATAGGGTCTACGTGGGACAGTAGTCTCAGGAGATATTGGCAAGAATAAATATACCGGTATCGGAAGGGATTTTTAAAACTCAGTAACGTAGACAAGGTCGTTCTTCTGGAAAAATCATCACAGTCGGAATTGGATGACTTTACCTCTACGGATAACCACTCGAACTCATACAAAATTTAGCATATAGTAAGCCCAGATTCCAAAATTCACTTGTTCCTAGAAAAACTCTTTTTCACCTTAAAACAGGCTTTTAAAATAGATCGCTTTAAAATTAAAACTCGCACAACTTTGCCCATAAATCTACACTGATGTTAAATGATAGCTCTTTTCATTTAACGCAGTTCTGCTTTCACTGAAAATGTACCTGCCATTTTAGGTAAGCGATATAACTTAATGTAACAAGTTAACTATTTTATAGGGGTCTATAAGTTCAGAAATAAGAATTTCTAAAGTGGGTTTGCACATATTGGGTTGTAAGGCCATCAATTTCTCCGGTAGTGAACAATTTATTGATCTTACGATGTTGGTCCAAGCCGTCGAATTTGCCTAACACAACTCTGTTTTGAATGACACTGCTTTGGATATAAAACACACACCAGTTAAGCCAACCAACAGAAACATGAATTAAAGGAGTTTCCTCATTAAAGTAAAGAATTTGTGATGTTTAGAAAATTTCTTCAGCTTGCTGAGGTACAAATCGCTGTCATTGTTTACGCTTGAGTGGAAATTCGTTAATATACGCAGATGATTTTCTAGAACAGTACGAATTTATTTCCAAATTTTAATACTTCGATATCTGGTATTAAAGCTTCCAATATTGAAAGTTTTATGCTTTAAATGATATAGAATTTATTTGTACGGACTTTATTATCAGCCAGGTTCCTATTTCTAAAATAAAGTTGAGAGTACTTCTGCGACTTTTCGCACAATCGGTTCGTTGTCTGATGTTTTAATATTAACTATGGTCCCAAAATTGAGTTAGAGTTCAAGACTGAGAAGTTTAAATGTAATACTCACATTTAGTTTTAAGCAGCGATAAACTCTACTTGCCAAAGACACGGCATCCACTTTATTCGCAAAAATCAGGCGTAAACAGATTAACTTCAATGACGATGATGAGAAGGAAGGCCATAATTGTTTGCTTAAATTTAATGGGCACTGTTTCAGTAATGCAAACTACACAACTGAATTTCACTTCAAATATTCAAAAAAAGATAATCAGTGTTACCGAATTAATATGATATTGATTTTGTCATTTTAGAAAAAAACGCATAGCAATTCTCAACGTCGGGAAATGTCGGAGTGGTCCGCGATAGATAGATTGCGCCGACTGGCGCATCTCAGAAACCTTCAGACAAATTGACTTATGTAACCTCAACAGTACTTTCGCGTTTGTACACAAGATTAAGCGAGTTTTGATTTTACGCCAACAATTTGGTTAAATATCATAGATCCATGCGTAAAAATGTGTACTACTGAACATGAAGGACCTTCTTTAAGTATGCATGTAGAAAAGTGTAAAGTCCACCATACAGACAACGCATCAAAAAATTGTAAGAAGAAAATGTTCAAAGTGCCATTCACTAAAGTGATAAAAAATCCAAGTTCAAAATTCAACAGACACTCACTAAGTGTACCTGTAGATGGCTTATATGTATACATTGCAAAAATTTCTTATGCCTATTGAGCTGCTGCAAAGCAACATTAAGTCTATCACTTATAGATTCGTTTAGAAAATTACAGAGTAATTATGTACTGACAAGTAGGCACAATACAATGCATAACAATAGGCTGATACAATCAACATTTAGCACATGCATTTTTCCACAGAAATACAGTCCAGTTAAATAGTACAAGAAACAGAAGGTACGGGGGCCCACCAAATCCTAATTGTAAAATTATAGCGATAATTAAAAGACTATTCGCCAAAGAAACTCTTAAAGTTAATTAGAATAGATAATTAAAACAAAGTAACAAACAATAAAGTCACATATGTTTATCAAATTGTAACGTCAACCAAAACCAATAATTTAAAATAAAAATAAAAAAAGACAAAAAACATAAATGTAATCCATATGTATTACATGAGGCACATTTTAACGTTGATGTAAATTAAAGAATTGAGGCACATTAGTACCTGTAATACATTTACAGCATAGTAAGACAATTATTTCAATTTCATCATTGCACCATGTCTGCAAAAGTCAAAAATGACTGCCTAAAAATAAGTGTAAATATTTCCACAGACGGAATTTGATGTAAAAAGTATTCCTAAGCACACTTTAAATGCGATAACACATATTTTTGAATATTGCAATCAAATAAAATACAAATTAAAAAATGGAATTTTACTGCTTAATAATCCAAAATTTGCAAAATATTTTTAAATAAACCTATATCGTTCTACAAAATATCCATGAAAATTTAAAGAGTACTTCGCAAGCAGCAATCAAAATATTCGCAATATTAAAAATAAAAAAAGACTAAAAAAGAATCAAAAATCAATTTGTTTAGCTTAATTGAAATGCGGTAGTTGTGTTTCGATTTTCAAAGGAAGACATAATTCCAATTATCGTACAAATGGCTTAGCCGCAGGGATAAATTTGGTCGAAGTAAGGACAGCATTAAAAAAAGTTAATAAAATAAATTAGGAATTTTAGGAATTGGGTTAGTGAAATGGTTTGATGCGGGCCAATACTTCGCCGGTAAATATATGAAGATTGGACGGATCGTAGGAATTTCTGAATGTTATTGTTCGTTAATCCAATCTAACACGGATCAAATGGTAAAAGCATAATCCCAAATGCACGGCTCGAATCGATTGTGCCTCAACGAATATTTGCTCTCAACGTCAACAATAATCATGCGGGGTATCTAATGTTCGTCAGAATTAGTGCCTCACAATCGCGTGTTCACTTCAATTTGCAGCGTCAGTGCGCTCCCACCAGGAAGTAGTTAATCAGTGCATCACGCTACGCCATTCTGCATCACACTTCTTTAAAGAAGGAATTCGATGTTGGCATCTAATGCACCCTTTCGAAAGACGAAATGTGCATTCACGTTAGCCTTTAATCAGCTGCGAAATCTGGTCTCAGAATTTGGCTTCCTTTACCTAACTGTCCATAAATGTATTATGTTGGAAAATTACCAGTTGGAAAACATGGAGGCACACACAGTAACAAATAAATGCGATGCGGAGGAGTTCTGCGAAATCTATCCTGAATGAAATTGACGATAACGCGCAGACCTTCAATATGATATCAATGCCAACCAACATAAAGTGAGGTATTTCAGGTGTACCAGTGCTAATACTTGATTATTTTGCTTTCAGTTCAACCTCCAAAATCACTCCCACAAAATTAGCCCTCCTGATTCCTTCAAGTTTCACTTTATTTCCTATTAGATGGGTAGTCGATTTCCTCTATCGTATCCTCGTACAGAGTGTTACAACCATTCTGCAAGAAACCTAGGAGTAAATTCATGCACACGAGGATTCAGTTGGTCCGCTCTTGCAATTCTTGCGATTGAATGTGGCTTTCCACGCTGACTTGTTACAGATTCTTACTGGAATTTCAAACTAATTTAATTTACACAATCAGAGTTCATGAACTTGCGGATTTTCGCAGACACACCCATGCCACACCATGAAACGCCGCACTGATGGCGCCGTCGATGGTGCCGTTGCCGCCTCCAAGTGGTGCACGTGGGAACATAGTGGTCACGTGATCGTCACTCCCAGGCTGACACTCATCTTCCACCACATCAAACTCACCAGACCAACGAACGGACATTGAGAACGCAGATAACACGATTAAGGGGAGTGAAATCAACGAACACTCGACTTTTTATTAGTCACGTGTTTTCGGTTGTGAGCGCGCACAGCCGAGTTCGAGGCACCCCATCGTTATGATTGCAATATTTCCCATTACAACCACACTTTTTTTCAACGCAAACACTCGTTAAGTAGCAAATATTGAAAACACCAGCATGTAAGTGATTTGGTCCAATTATTGTCAGTGCGTTACGCATGGTGGGTGTGCTTTGAGCGATTTTAGGGCCACTCTATTTCAGGCGATGATGAAGGAGACCAAAAAAGGACACGAACACAAACACGTAATTCAAGACTCAACCAAGGTGGTGTCCTTCCGTCTTGTGTGGCGTTTGCAAGCGTGTGCTTGTAGCTATCATGTGTGAAATAACTCGAGTCATAAGTATGCAAACAGCTAATACCGAGGTGAATGTTATCGCAGGCGGAAATAATCCAGGATAACCATTCTCGTTAATGAGGTTGTTAAGGTTCCCGGCATGTTGTCTTGATCCACGCCGGGGCCACTGCAACTATCTAGGCCGAATACGTTGCCCTCTGTTTCCGCGAAAATCATGAAGACCGGAGTGGAGAGGGCGCAACCTTTAACTAGACAGCTCAACCAAGTTGATCTTTGATAACTGATACCGTTGAGCGTACTAGTAGAAATACAGGCGGGTGGTGGTGGTGGTGGTACACACAGGGGGGTGAATGAGCAGGCGGTCCCAGTGACTGACGGGCACGCCGTGAAAAGGGGGACGTGTGTATGAGACAGCGACGACTGTAGTGTTTAACATGAATCAACACGATTCACTACAAGGTGTGGCATGTTGTATAAGCGAGAACATTGTGTCGGCCAATTGGGCGACCGGATTAAAGGGCGCGAATCGACGTGGTTTACAACAAGCGTTTCCTAAGTAAGGCCGTGAGCGTGGATTTGCATTAACCACATCTGGACACTAAACCTATAGACTTGAGTCTGCTGTGTACGCGGAACAGAAGTTGCCAACAGTCAAGTTGGTCGCTCGCAACGAAGACAGCCTAATGTGTTAGGCTCAGACCATCATGTCCGTAACACAGCAGCATCAACTACCATGGCACAATATTTGTTTTTATTGGTCGAGGCCATGGTCAGAGCTGAATCCGAGTGTATGCGGAGCGTTCGAACATCCACTCAGGTGATGCACATCAACTGTGGTGATGTTTCGTTTCGATTTAATCTCCGTTAGCGTTGTCGCCGCAGGCTCAGACACACCGTCACCCATGTTCGCAGCGTCTCCTTCACTTACGTGGACGCATCTGATTATCCACCCTCTGTGTCCCCACACAACCTGCCACCCTTACCTCACGCGTCCGCAGGCTGATCCTGCGTAGCTCGACACCCACGCTGGGGCTTTAAGACTAGCAAAAAGTAATTTGGAATGTGGTAATCTTGCTACTGCTAACAACCTCAGCATTCGCACACTCTGTGCTAGCGTTGTCTAGGCAAAATATCGCCACAAATTAGAAGGACATTCAAGTCCCGTGGTGGCACTACGAAACATTTCCATTGCAGGAACCAGGTGTTTATTAAGCCACGTGTCTCCTCAGCCCATACCTTGCCAAAAGTGACGACAATTTGTGCTCACGTGACATTTATTGCATAAGTTGGTAGCTTGTTCTAGTTGCCTTCAGAATTCCATCGTTTGTACACGTTAGTAGGTTTTTAGGCGAACCTAACTTCATTTCTAAAATGCGCGTTTGGAGGTACCCGCACACACATGTAAATACACACACAGGTCAATAGGTCGCCGCGTCTGGAAAGCCCACTGACGCAAGCACTTTCTACTCCGTCTTAAAAACAACATTTGGAAGACTTCAAGGACACTGATCCCAAAACCTGCGTCCAGCCGTAATTGGGGTTTGCAATTCCCCACACACCTTGGCGTCGACAGACATGATTTATGTTGTGCAGCGGTGTTGCTACTTGTCAGCCTGCCTCTTCAACATTAAAGTAGATTTCTGGCAAGGTGACTGAGAAAGTGAGTTTTGAGCGCAGATCCGTTAGTGCATTTTGATAATGAGAGTTTTCAATAATGCGTGTACTTACACAATTAAGGGGTGCATTATCAAGCACTGTGCCCATTTGCACTCGGTCAACCCAATTTTACAGGTTGTAATAAAAAACCGTCACAACCTTGAAAAAGCAAAACTGACGAAATGTTGTTGTTTAGCTTAGTTGCCACCACGTGTGCGCAAAAATAATAAGTTAAATGATATGTTAATGGAAAATGTTGTTTTCGTAAAATTCAATATCTTCGCATAAAGTAAGCGATATTTAGATACCTTAAAATCGAGGTTAATTTCATGTGCCTGAATTTGTCTCTGCACACAAAGCGCGGTTAAATCACAAATGGAATGACTATTTGTTGCGTTTCGCCCGTAAACAAAATTAACACACTCAGGTAACCGGTACCCCAGGTCCCTTGTCTGACGCCAGCTCCTACCTTCGCAATCTGATGCAAGGCAAGACGGGACCTCGTGCAAAGGTCTCTTAATGACTTAGCCAAAGGCCGAGTCATCTGTCTGGATGTGCCCACCTGCATAAGTAAACGATAACCTTGACTTGATCGATCAAGGCGGCTTAACACAGATGACCTGTCTTTAAGTTGTCGTGGTGACTCGCCACTGAAGTGACGTGGTTAGGAGAATTGTGCAAACAATGGCGAAATCCTAACCCGCGACGAGCCGTCTTGGGGAATGCTGTACCCCAGCACGACTAATGCCCAAATTGACGACGGCCCAGACAAAACAAATGTGGTCTTCTTGGCTGCAAGGGGACATTGTCTTGAGAACGTGTCGCTATCCACAAGTGTGCAATGAAATTCTTTGCCAAACAAATTTACTAAATCAATTTCTTTTGGGCAATTCGCAAAGAACATTTAGAAGAGGCTATTCTCAGTTTACGGTAGACAAATGCGTAAATGTTTCCCGTTTGAAGAGTGTTCAAGAATACAGACTACCTTCCAAAGTATGAGGTAAAAGGAAACGCTCAAATGGTAATAATAATAATAATAATATCATAGAGCAAAATATACATAAACGTTTCAACAACAATCAGGCGCAAAGCGAAAAATATTCATTCAGAGATTTCGTTTACTGTTTTTTTTTAAAAATTGGTGATCTAAACGGGAACTAGAACCTTAACCGGATAAACGGCTACAGAATTGGTAGTATTTTCATTTAAATTGAAATATAAAAACTGTATAAAGTGAAAGAGAGAAAGAGATCTCAAAGATAAAATGCTGTGCCCAAAAATGAGTGAATAATTAAGAACAAAACTAGTTAGAAAATACGGCAGATAAATGGCAGAAAATCATTGTCAAATTTAAAGTGTGATGCACTCAAAATCTCGACTAAACTACTCAGAGTTCTTATGAACAATATTTTATGAAAATGATATTCTCATGAAGACAACTCAGTCTGGTTTTCTTCTCACGTAAGTCGTTTTAAAAACGCAAATCCACCCATTTTTCCCCAATTTCCAATTTCTTTGTCAAGTGAAGCTCAGAGATGGGCATCACATCAATACTAATGTACCAAGCATGATCAATCAATGAGAACGATGAGTTTTACGCACACCATTTCATGCGCTTAAGGAATTCAGTAGGCGAAGACGCATCGCATTAAAAAAACTGAGATTTATGTACAGTTAGTATTTGCAGGGCATAAATGCAGCTGATTCTAATATTCTGATAATAAACGCGCTTGAGTTAAGGACGACGAAAGAAAGAGAACGATTCGACAACAAATATCTGGCTACTCACACGTAGGTCAATGTTAAGAGGGTATTTACTACAGACTGCAAACAACAGCGCAACGCTGGCAAAGTTAATTAATCTCAGCGGTAGCTCATCTCTTCTTTCGTCTTAAGCACATCAATTAGGCACATCCATACAACTTCCAGCGTGGTGGATTAACAATGGAGTTTCAGAATATTTCACGACAAATAGTGCATGCAGTCAGGGCAAAATGTTCCTTCAACACGATTGATTTCACCAGTCGAAAAAGCATTTAAAATTCTTAATTTCACCGCTTGAGATGCCAACACACAATTTGATGGTAGTGTAGTTTACTACTACTGAAGGTCTAGGAACATAAACGTTTGTGGAATCAATGCGTACCACGGCATATTGGCAGTTCTGAAGTGACGATGCCGCGTGCATCCCTCAACAACGAGCTTCTTCACGCGTAGTGCGCGTGCGTTTTGGTAATTGTGTTTTGATGCCTTGTTAACAATAGTTGCTCGCTACACTCCGGTTCGCATGTACAGGCAACCTCCTCGAATGTAACTTCGTCAGACTGAACAGGTGCGACTGCGGAACACGCTCTGCCTTCCATTAAAGCATTGGTGTGCATGTGAAATCCTAAAACAATAAGCGTTTGTTGATGAACCGGTTTCTAGGCTCACTGCTTTCTACGCATGATCGTTTAAACCAACGTAAGTTAGGAGCATAAAGGCAGGTCATCACTCTAGGCGGACTCTCGTCACTAGGTACGTGGAGTGTGGTTTGGTGATTCTCGATGGGGCACTTGTGTCTCGTAATAACGTACACAGGCACTGAGAGAGACGCGTTTTCTGTTGAATACAACTCGGCCACTTGAAACGAAGTCAGGTTAAGCCATCTTGTGGGTGTTTCGTCAAAAAGAAGAAGAAGAAGAAGAAGAAGA